GTGAGGCCTAATGAGGGTGGGGAAGGCTCTCTCCGTGTTAGCCCCTCTCGTGGAGATGCACCCTGCCAGCATTCCTGGGATGGACCCTAAGGGGTTCAAATAAAACCGCTCTCCTGCCCCAGGGTATTGCTTATGAGACAGAAAATACAATTAACCGACTAATTTGGGTCACTGCTTGCTGCCTCAGCCCCTTCCCTAAAGCAAACCACGAGAAACAAAACCAGGAGCCCCAGGGAGGAGCGAGAGCAGGACTTCTCCCCACCTCAGAGTTCCAGAATGATTCCTAGGGCACCATGAAGAGAGATGAAATGGGCTGACTTATATGCATTGACTTTCATATGTGGGTGCCATTGTGGTTCCTAAGATGCCAATTTACTTTCTAACGTGCTTAATAAGTTAGTTTGACCCAACAATGACTTTGGAAGAGAGTCCCTCCGAAGGTCAGCTGGTGCGGGAGCTCTGCCTCAGCTCACTTGTCCTCAACGTGAACATCCTCAGGCCTGGAGCCCGGACATTGCAACTACACAATGATCACCTGTCCACGCTCAGGCCTGTTTCTCCAGAATGATCAATGACCCAACACTCCGCACACAGCGCATGGGTTAGCCATAGCGTGAGGCAACTGCAGACAAGGGGTAAGAAAGATGGAATTCCCTGGACTTTGCCATCCAACAAAGAGAAGACTGGTTGCCACAGAATATGCCAGAAAGCCCTGGACTTAGCACAGGGAGGCCACAGGGAGGAGGTTCGAGGATACTGCCAGCATCTGGACGTGCAGGGGGGCCCACAAAGCCAGGTGGTATAAAATTCCTAAACTCTTGCCCCTGCCAACTTCTTGTCCTAAGAAGCCCACCAGGAGGGTTCAACTGACTGTCACCCCCCTTCCGCTCCCCATCAAGGCTGCCTGAGGGCACCCCACCAGCCTCAGATGTGAGCACTCAGAAGAGTGGCAGGGCTCTGAGTTGTGTGTTCCTGCTGGGAATGTAAACGTCAGGAATTCTGCCATAACCAGAGCTCTGTTTCTGCCTCTCCTGCCGTTCCCCTCGCCTCCCTCCTCCCACCCTGGAGGAACGACACAGGAAGATGCCTCTCTTCACTAGTCCACACAGGAGCCGAGCCTCCGGCTCAGAACCATGCACCTGCCACTGGGAAATGGAGACCCAGGGGAACTGGGACTTCCTGGTGGGGTTTCCCCAGATGTTTAGAAATCACAAGAAAAAAAAAATCCCTATTATATAAAAAGTTGATAAAGGGAATGTGTAATGGGATGTGTCTGTTTTCATAACTTCCGGCTTCCTTTTCTTCCTCTGAGCGGGAGAATTATAAGTGTGTTTGAGCTGCCAGCCCCTGAGCGGGAGCTGTATTTATGGAAGACATGATTCTTAGAAAAGCCCATGTGATTTCTATCACAGAAGCACGTTTTCCCCACACCTACCCCGCGCTCCTGCTAATGCGGTGGTTACATGTATGGAAGCAAACTTCTTCAGCCATTAACACTCACCCCAGCTGGGCACAGTGTAGCACCCAGCTTGGTGCAAAGTAAAATTTGTAGCCAAAACCGGTTTGGCTCAATGGATAGAGCGTCGGCTTAGGGACAGAAACGTCCCGGGTTCGGTTCCGGTCAAGGGCATGTACCTTGGTTGCGGGCATATCTCCAGTGGGGGGTGTGCAAGAGGCAGCTGGTCGATGACTCTCTCTCATCAATGTTTCTAACTCTCTATCTCTCTCCCTTCCTCTCTGTACAATATCAATAAAATATATATTTTTTTTAAAGTAAAATTTGTAGAGAAAGATGTTCACCATTAGAGACTGTCTCTTAATACTCCTTTCCAGCTGCTCTGAGAAGGATGATCGCTCGGGAGGGCGTTAAATTATTCCCCTGCTCCCAGAAGAACCTTAACAATGAGTCTAGGCTCTTCCCACATCCTGGGGCTCAGTAAGGAAATGGCTGGCAGCCCCTGCCCAAAATGGCAGTTATTGATGGAATCCTTGGAAAGACCTGGTTTGTGTCCTGGTGTGACTCCTCGTAAGTCTCTGTCCTGAAAGTAGCTCTTTCCAGTGAGAGACCAAAGGCGGGGTGGGGAGGAGGAGAGCGGGGCCCAGGGCCTCAGAATTATGTTGTGAGAGGGAGTGTGAGGCCAGCAGAAGAGAGGGGCGTCTTTATGGCTTCCTCCCACTCATCCTCCCAGTCCTCTAAGGATAAGTTTCTGAGGATTTTTGCTGAGAGATGATACTCTGCCCTAGTTCTCCTGGGAGAGTATGGGGTGAGGCAGCAGAAGAGGAAGAGGTGAGGTGCAAATCTTCATGGACCAGAGCCAGGCCCTCTTGTAATAGCCCAGGGCCTTGGCGCAGGTGAGAGGCTTTGGATCTTATAAGACAACCTCGATTTGCATGCGGAATTAGACACAGCCACCAGAGATGGAGACTCTGGGGACAAGCCCACAGATGGATGCTCACAGAGCTCCAGAGGTCCTGACAGTTTCCTGCGAGCCATCCACCTGCCAGGCAGGTCCCTGAAGGAGAAGGTTATGGGTTTAGAAATGGCCTAATTTTCTCACATTTTGTGAAAATTCTCAGCTAACCCTCTACCTTCTATTCATTCAGTCATTGGTTTCATCAACAAATAATTATTGAGGATTTAGTACCTGCCGTATGCCAGGCCCTGTGCTAAGTTCAGGAGGAAGACTCCTGCCCTCAGAAAAATTATAGCCCCTGCCCTAGCTGGTTTGGCTCAGTGGATAGAGCGTTGACGTGTGGACTGAAGGGTCCCTGGTTCAACTGTGGTCAAGGACATATGCCTGGATTGCGGCTTTGATCTGCGGTGGGAGGTGCACAAGAGGCAACCAATCAATGATTCAAACTTATCACTGATGTTTCTATCTATCTATTTCTCTCCCTTCCTCTTTGAAATCAGTAATATATATATATATTACAGCCTAGAACACATGTGTCAAACACAAGGCCCGCGGGCCAAATCCGTCCCGCCAGGCCTTGCAATGTGGCCCGCACCGCGCTGTCATCACTGCACTCCGCTGCGTTTCCATCACAATGACAGTTTATGACTGTTCAGTAAACCATTCGGCCCGCGATTTAGGCTGGATTTTAGATTTTGGCCCCTTCTCTGATTGAGTTCGACACCCCTAGCCTAGAAAGTAACAGACAACAAATAAGTAGACAAATCACCAGGGTAATTACAGATTACTATAAGAGCCGTGAAGGACATGAGGAGGATAAATGAGAAAGAAAGGAGCTGGGAGGGGCCATCCGAGAGGGGAGGACCCCTCTGCAGAGAGCACATTTGAGCGGAGACCCAAAGACAGCAGTGGCGAGGGAAGAGCTGAGGGAGGAGCTGGAGAAGAGCGTGCGGGCAGAGGGAGTAGGAGCTGCAGAGGCAGAACCGCGTTGGAGCATTTAGGAACAGAGAGGCTTTGCAGAGAGCAGAGAGGAGAGTGATTTGGGGCGAGTTCAGAGAAGAGGCAGGAGCCAGGTTGTCCTGTAGGGCCTTGGAGGCCGAGATCAGAGTGTGGGCTTTATTCTGAGAGCAATGAGGAGCCCGCGACCTGTGAAGCAGGAGTGGTGATGGAAATAAAGGTCACTGCGTGCTCATTGCCACGTTGTTTGTAACAGAAGATTAGAAACAAATTCCGTCCTCATGGAGCTAGGTAGATAATTTAGGTTCATTCCAGTGGTTTGCAGCAGTTAAAAATGTGAGGCTTCCATTTTTCTATTAGAAAAAAGAAAGAAAGAAAGAAAGAAAGAAAGAAAGAAAGAAAGAAGAAAGAAAGAAAGAAAGAAAGAAAGAAAGAAAGAAAGAAAGGAAAAGAAAGAAAGAGAAAGAAAGAAAGAAAGAAAAGAAGAAAGAAAGAAAAAGAAGAAAGAAAAACACACACAAAAAAAAAAAAACTGTGAGGTTTATCCATTCATACTGCTTTGGAAGGATTTGCAAGATACCCCAAATGGGGGGAAATCCCAAGAACAGAATAGAGTGCAATGTGCTGCCAATGTATTTTTAAAGGGGAGGTGTCTGTGGATATAGGGGTGGCTGTGTTATACCACACTTAGGATACATAAGGACCTGGTGAGGGGTTTCTTCTGGGGAGGGGAACTGAGGCACAGGTGACTAGGAGACTTATGCTTCGTAGTATATACTTTTGTATGTTTTAATATCTTGCTAGGTATCTGTATCACTTATTCAGCAAAAAAGAGTAAATTGTGGCCTGGCCAGTGTGGCTCAGTTGGTTGAGCATCGCACGCACAGAAGTCACTAGTTTGATTCCCAGTCAGAGCCCATGTCCAAGTTGTGGGCTCAATCCCCAGTAGGGGCTGTGTAGGAGGCAGAGATTGATTTTCCTTTCTCCCTTCCTCTCTCTCTAAAATTAAAAACAGACCTCGCCAGCTTGGCTCAGTGGATAGAGCATGGGCCTGTGGATGGAAGGGTCCCAGGTTTGATTCTGGTCAGGGGCATGTAACTCGATTGCAGGCTACATCCTGGCCCTGGTTTAGGGTGTATGCGGGAGGCAACCAATCAATGTGTGTCCCTCTCACATCAATGTTTCTCTCTCTGAGTCTTTCCTCCTCCCCTCCACTCTCTAAAAATCAATGGAAAATACCCTCAGGTGAGGATAAAAAATAAATTCCATTTTAAAAGACACATTTTTTAAAAAGACTGAAATGTGGTGGAGAGGGGGAGAGAGCAGAAGCAGAGAAGGGGTTGGAAGACTCTGGCTGTGACCTAGTTGAGAGATGGCGGTGAGCCTCACCTGGGAGGTTGGTAATGGAGAGAATACACTTTAGAGGCAGAGCCAGCTGCTCTTGGTGCCTTCCACACTGACATGCCCTAGAAAGCTTTGTGTGTTAGAGATCAGAAGCAGGCTCCCCTCACTCCGGACTCCTTATGGACAGGCGCCCCGCCCACATCCTCACACAGCTGTTAAAAACGGTGTGTAATGACCCACTGAAGAAGCCCTCTGGTTTCTCAACGGAAACTTCTTTCCTTGCAGAGAGATGCCAAAGGCCAGTACCTGTTTGACCTTCTTTGCCACCACCTGAACCTACTTGAAAAGGACTATTTTGGGATCCGCTTTGTGGACCCCGATAAGCAGCGGGTAAGTCAAAATGCAAAGCACAAATGGAGGAGAGGGTAGGTCACTAAGCCTGACGCTCGGAACTGCCACTCACCTTCAGCGTTCAGGAGTCAGGGACCAACCAGACCCTGCAGGTAAGTGTCATCTCTTCAAGTCATATTATGAGAGCCCGGCTGGTGTGCTCAGTGCTTGAGTGTGGACCTGTGAACCAGATCACAGTTCAATTCACTGGTCAGGGCACATGCCCTGATTGCGGGCTCGATCCTCGGTGGGGGGTGGGCAAGAGAGCAGCCGATCAATGATTCTCTCTCATCATTGATGTTTCCATCTCTCTCTCTCCCTTCCTCTCTGAAATCAACGAAAATATTGCTTTAGTCATATTCTGAGACCTGGAGACACCGTAGCAGAGCTCACTGAGTTGCTCACCATTTTGCAGAAGCTGAAATGGCAGCCGGGAGAGCTGAAGTGATTTGCCCAAAATTGCCCAGTTGGCGGTAGAGCTAGAGTTGTGGTCTCAGGGCCCAAGTCACAGGCTGAACTGCTCCTGCCCCCTTTCTAGTACATGGACCTCACCTGAGATGCCAGCCCGCCCCAATCGGAGCAGGACAGAGAGCCAAACTGGCACAGGCCTTTCAGGGCCTTGCAAGTCTTGCAGTTCTTGTCCTGCTCTATGCTGTGTGGTCGGCTCCTCAGACACAGGGCTGTGTGGTCGGCTCCTCAGACACAGGGCACTGCCAAGGACTGTGATACTCCTGACAGGTAGAAGAACAAGTCTGCTATCCCCAGCAGCTGCTCACCACTCCAGCTTCACCCCCGTGCCCTTCCTCCTCCCTGCTGTGGCCCAGCCAGACTGCTCTGTGGCTCCCCATGTCATCCTTGTCTTTTCCCAGAGCCTTCGCCTATGCAGTCCCCTTGCCTCACTTCTCCACAGTCTACACTTTTCTTCTGGCTCATGCCTTCTCACACATAAGGTCTTAGCCTAGACTTTTTTTTTTTTTAATACATTTTAATGATTTTTCACAGAGAGGAAAAGAGAGAGAGAGAGCTAGAAACATCGATGAAAGAGAAACATCCACCAGCTGCCTCCTGCACACTTCCCATGGGGATGTGCCCACAACCAATGTACAGGCCCTTGACCGGAATTGAACCTGGGACCTTTCAGTCCGCAGGCCAATGCTCTATCCACTGAGCCAAACCTGTTTCGGCTTAGCCTAGACTTTTATTTTTTCCAGAAGTCTTCCCTAAGCCCCACTCTGAACAAGGGTCCCTCCTCTGTGCCCCATATGCCCTATGAGGGCATGAACATTGTCATATTTATTACTGCATCCCCTGGCATTAGCAGGAAGCCTGGAAGGTGGTCGAATGTGGGAACCAGTTGCCGAGGGCGTGGTGAGGGGGCGAGCTCATGGTTAGCAGTGCCGTATTCCCCCTCCCCTCCCCTCCCCACCAGCAGACACCTGCAGTTCCTACAACGCTGTCCATCAGCCCTTTGCTCTCTGTGGGGATGAGCTGTCTGGCATGAAGTGTACACTATGCAAAAGCATTCAGGCCTCAATGACTCCCTTCCCTACACCCCTGCCCACCACCCAGTCTTGTCTACCAGCCTCCACAAACACGATCACCATGAATCCCAGAGGGACCCACTCATTTTCTTCACGGATCCAGACATGGGCTTCATCTCTGTCGCCACTCAGGGACCTTGGAGGGAGCCTCAGAGGGCGCAACCTCCCAGCAGTGGCCAGGCCACAGATCACTAACGATGAATGGGCACTTCACACCAGAGTCAGGTGCTGCTTTGTTCTTTGGTGCTCTGAGCCAGCTGTTTTCAACCTTCTTCGTCTTGTGGCACACAGAAACTAATTACTAACATTCTGCAGTGCACAGACAATGTATATTTTTTGCCAATCTGACAAACAAACAAACCAGGTATAATGTTGGTTCGTTCACACTGTCATATTTTTATTTAACAATCAGGGAAATGAGGTCAGTGCCCCTGACTAAGTAGCCGGGTATCGCATGTTTCAGAACGTCTTCCCCCACAGCGGTTGCAAACTGCTGCTCTGAACCCTGTGTCTCCAGGTGCCACTTAGGGTGTTAGGGCTGAACACCTGAGCTGTAGGCCAGGCTCAGGAGGACTGCGCCCCTTCACTCCCACAAGCCCCGCCCCCTTGCTGACAGGTGTCGTTACTCCCGGCTCAGCAGAATGTTGAGCCTCATTGGTGTTTGGAAGGTCGTATGAGGTTAGCTCTTCGCCTGTAAAGGCGCCGCTGCCCTCACATAACTCCTGCCCTGAGCCCCGGACCACAGTGTGAGCCCCCAGGAGGTGCCAGACCCCGAGCAGCTGTGTGTCCTCACGCACTGTCTGTCGGTGTCCGTCCGCTGTGTGGTAACGGGCTGTTTTTACAGCGGGGTCCTTTGTTGTTGATTTTTGTATTCTGTTGGTGTGAGCTGTCTCTTTTTGAGAAGGAAGGCCAGTTACCCTGAGCTCTGTCTCTTCATGTCCCAGAGAGAGTAGCATGGGAGGAAAAAAGGGCACAGGGTCCTGTTCGTTATTTTTAAGTTGGGCCAGAACGTGCCTGAGGAGAATAAGAGAGAATGTGGAGCGATGAGGATTAAGAGCAGGAGACAGAGAAAGGTGAGGAAATGTGGGGAAAGAGAAATAAATGTTTATGAAGTGGCTGCAGCGTGCTGGGCTCTGCACTGAGCACAGAGCTGAATGCTTCAGCGGGTGGGTATTGAGCACTGAGTTGTATCGGGCGCTGAGCTATGGGTGTCACATATGCTATTTAATTCCTGCCACAAATGAGATGAGTATCCACAATTATGTTATCCAGCTCCAGGTTAGTGAATAAAGCCTCAGGCAGGTTAAGTAACTTGCCTGGGGCAGGTCTTCTCCTGGTCTCCTGACCCCTCTCCCCCAAACCCATGTTAACAGTTTGCTAGTGATGCTGGGACCCAGACTTAGCCAGACAGATGCAAAAGGTAGCTCTGGCCATCACCATATTCTTGGGATCCTTTCAAGATTTTCCTACCAGACCCTTAAAATCTCTTGGGCGAGCTGTGACCACTTTCTACTCCCTTCCCACCCCTCCCTTCTCCTCCAGCCTCCCTCCTTTCTTCAGTTTTCACCCCTGAAGTCCTCAATAGCCTTTCTGTCATTCAGCACCATCTGCCTTCTGCTCATAATGGATCTTACAAGTCCTTCCTCTTAGTTTCCAAGTTTCTTTGTTGGTTTACTTTCATCTGTCGGGGAACGTCTAGGGGCATCCTGTTTACTGAGTCCAGACGCTTGCGGGCTCCTCTCCCCGCACAAAGTTCCAGACTGGCCTCCTGGAAGCCCCGTCGTTTCCCTGCAATTTCATCTCCTGCCTTGGCCTCGCAGTGAAGCCGAGCCGCGGCGGGCCGGTAGCGTGAGAAGGGCCTCCTAACCACACTGAGTGGCTATAATGAGTTGCCAGCCTCGTGGGAACTCAGATCAGAGGAAGCAAGAGAGCAGAATGTCAACCCGGATTATCCATGCGGAGCTGACGAGAGAACTGGCTCTTACTGGGTCCATTAACTGCATGGCCCATGCCCGGCCCAGAAGGTGAGAGCTGGGATGGAGGGAGGCCAGGATGCCGTCTGCGTGACCCCGGCCGCCTTCCTGCAAAGTGAGGACTCTGCCGAGATGTGACATTAAACGGAAGTAACCAGGAGAGAGGGCAGTATGGGCCTGGTTCCTTCAAATCGTTGGCAGCTGCATTCTGAACACCGTGCTGGGCAATCCAGTGCAAACAAGACAGTTTCCTGCCCTCACAGGACTCATGACTAATGGTTTTAAGCTACTTCCAGATAACCAAACCCAAGTAACAGTAGTTCTAGCTCCCTGCAAATTGCCAAGGTTCCTGATTAGTATAACAGCAACAAACACCAATGATGCATTTATAAAGCATCCATGTAGGACTGGGAAACACATAGGACGGTCTCATTGCTTCCTTCCCCACCATAAGTACAGTACTAGGGGGGGGCGGGGGGGGATGCATTGCTACTATGTCCCGCCTCCATGAAACTCCAAGGATGCAGGATAGGATCCTGTACGTCAGTTGTGGTAAGTTATCTTATGAGACAGACTTTGCCAAGGAATCCTGAGCACGCCTCTCTCACACGGGGCTGGACAGTCTGTGTTACTCAAACAAAGATGGCAGGTACACCAGCCATCCCTCCCTTCTCACCGTTTATGAAATTCTGTCAGCACTTTCTAGAGCCCCTGTCAAAAAACATTGGCATGTAGCACACATACGTACAACCCATTAAAGCCAGTATTTCCCTACTCATGCCGGACGGGACTCGGTCCCCATCACATACACGTACACTCGCTGTTCCTACTGGCGTGCCAGAAATGTGGGTCAGAACCTTGGCCCCCTGCTCTGGGAGGCAGCCCTGCCAGATAAGCCCAGAAACGGCATCTGAAACTGGAACTCCTTCCTCTTCACAGCTGGTTCCCAGGGGAGCTTTTCAGAAAATCCTATCACTGCTCACTCTCCGGGCCTGCGGATCACAAGCATTTGGGCTGCTTTCTCCCTGGGCTGCAATCTGGTGATGTAAATTGGGTTCAACAGGTTACATTTGACACTGCTTCTCATTAGGGTTTTCTTGTTCTGTGTTCTCGCTCTCAGCATTGGTTGGAGTTTACGAAGTCCGTGGTGAAGCAGTTGAGATGTAAGTATTCCCCAGGAAAAGACTCGAGCCCTACCCCTGGGGAGCGGGAAGGGGGAAGGGGAAGGTGGAGTGAAACCTCCCACGTGTGGTGAGTCTTGGTGGTTTTCCACTGTTCTGAGCACACGTGGCCCTAAACACCTGAGGATTTTCTCTGGGGGTTCAGAGGCCCGTGCCTCCTGGTGGGGAGGGGAGCTCTGTCTTCTCTGGGCCAGAGGTCTTCCCTGATAGTGCGGCACCTGTTTTTCTCTGCAGCCCAGCCTCCGTTCACCATGTGTTTCCGGGTGAAGTTCTACCCTACGGACCCCGCTGCCCTGAAGGAGGAAATAACCAGGTGAGATGACACATACCTCCCTCCACCACTAAGACAGGAGAGGCCAGGAGAGAGGGACTGTACCTCTCAGACCCTCTGTGCTGGAAGCTCCTAACTCTTATGGGCGAGGCTTTCTTCTTAAATATCACCGTGCTTCTGTGCCTCATCCCCACGTGCGCTCCTGGCTCACCCCCTCTGTAAACTGGAGCAGAGGGCGTGTCCTTCTCTGGAAGGGTGAACACATCACCCTGAACCGGACCTCCTCAGGGGCTCTGGATTTACGGATGAATCAAATGCACATTTTCCTCTTACCTGTGAGGTGGCCACCGCGGACGTTCCGGAGAGGGCTGTGTTGCTGCTTTTGGGGGGAGATGGGAATAGACGCCAAAGCATGACCCGGAAGGACCAGCTGGGAAATAACTGAGGATTTTAAATCAAAGTGAGTCAGTGCTGATGGATCAGGTGCCCGGTAAGCTCTTCGTCGCGGGCATTGTGTTCTTGGAGAGCAGACGGCCACAGGGAATGGATTCGATCTCGCTCAGCGCCTCCTGTGGATGAGGAGGAACGCCTGTGCCCACAGCCAGCCTGTGAGAGGGTCAGCTAGAAGGAGCTTCAAAGCTTCCCCAGGGTTTCGTATCTCGGAGCCTAATTCACTTTAAAAGTGTTGCCTCGGAGATGTAGGAACTCTGTGGAACAGGGATCCTTAATTTTTATCCTAGGAAGGTCTAATGTTGGCATAAACAAAACCTCGCTGTTACCTTGTGGAGGGAGGGGCCCAGGTGAAAAGGGATCTTGGAGCTGAGGAGGAAACAGCTCCGCCCACCCCGCCCCTCCTCACACCTGAGAGAAGCAGAGGGGGTGAGGCCTTTGCCAGGCCTATAGGCTGTCCATCCTGTAAGGCTTAGCAATTTACTTCTAGACCTGAACTGCTCGAGAGAATCCCAAAACAAAAGAGGAGGGAAGAAGGGAGAAAGAATATGGAATTATGTTCTCTTCGTGTTCTGAAGAGCATGCCGCTACCTTTACATCCAGTAAAAGGAGCGGAAGTTTTATCTGAAAAGGAGGATGAAAAGGAGGATGAGGAAATGGGGAGAGAAGAGAGCAAGAAACGGGAACAAGTAGTACCAGGAAGCAGAGGTGGCTGGGAGGGAAGGTGGCTGGGCCACGGAGGGAGGGGGTGGTCTTCTGATCTGGCCAGAGGATCAGGACAGCAGCTGCTCTGGGTGTGGAGCGGGGCACCCACCCCCTCTGAAACAGGGCGGGGGGGGGGGAGTGGGTGGAATCACACCTCATGTTCCTTCCTGGACATCGGAATTGCACGCTCTGCTCCTCCACACGGAGGTGGATGTGGCTCCCACTTTGCTTCTAAAAATCAAGCTCATCCATATTAATGAGCAGTCCTGTAGCTTTAGGTGGAACAGTGAGGGTAGAACTCCCATGTTCAACAACTTAAACAGAGTCGTTTTGGCAAAGCACTAGCCCGCCTTGCTCATGATCTCTATCTAGTGTTTGCCTCGGGTCTGAGCACATCTTCCCCGCGCCTCCCCGCTCTTCCCCTCCGCTCCCCTCCCCTCTTCTTTCTTGCCTTCCTTTCCTTCCCCTCCTCCCTCTCTCTCTCCCTCCCTCTTTCTATTGAAAGAGGTGATGACACCAGGACAGATCCAGAAGCCTGTGTTCCTGTCCACCACCTGTCAGAGCAAATTCAACACATCTTTGCTCGGAGCCTCGCCCCGGCCTCCTAACAGCACACATCCGCTTTGCCTGGTCTGCACCTCGCTGGCCGGCAGGGGGATGAGGGGCTGGTCTGATGTAACCCAGTGAGAGCACCACAGGCCTTTTCTGATTTGATTAAAGGACAAAAATATATGATGAACTTGGCCCTTAGGAGGAGCTGTGAACGACATACTTTTCTAAATCAAACGCCACCGCATACTATTAACCCACAGACCCAACTACCCAAGAAGCAGCACAGACCCAGAGCTGAGGTCCTATTTGTCACTTCTTAACGATGTGGCCTTGGTCGTAAGCTAGTTAACCTCCTTGGGCTTCAGATTCCTCATGTATAAAATGAGGCCGGCGAGAGCTACCTCATAGAACTGCTGGAAGCATTAATCGCTATACAAGGTCTTGCACTTCTTAATACCCCCCGAGTCTTACACGGTGCACAGGCTTGATACCTGTTGACTGCCAGATTGGCTACGTGGTCCGAAGACCCCAAGGGGCACAAGTACAGTTAGCTCTGACTTTTCCTCCTTTTTTATGTGAAAGGCACTTCTTCTCTGATAAACCCCCTCACCTCTTCTGTCCCCTTTCCCTGCCAGCGAGAGTCCTAACACTTAAGCAGCTAACTTGAGAACCTGGAGAGAAAGCCATCTTAGCTAATCACCCACGTCCGGGTTAGCGAAGTAGGGGACCGTGGCCAGGCCTCTCAGTAAGTCAGCAGACTTCAAGGACCCTGACAAGTGTGTGAGCCCCTCCCCATCTGCATGCATTTGTGCTGACCACCCTCCGCTACCCTCCCCTCTCTCCATCTCACCAGCCTTCCTTTCCTAGAATGCAATTTCCAGGCGTGACAGGAGAGTTAGTCACAGGCTGACTGCCTCCCCCTCCCCATGGCGTTCAGGGGTGGCCTTAGAATTAGCAGCATCTTTCTCCTCATTCCCATCCCCGCTGATCTTAAAACAGCAGGTACCTGCCACAGCCTTATTCAATACCCATAATTCCTTCCTGGCTTAGAGTCCTCCATACCACTTTCCTGCCAAACTAATTTAGCTGTCAGTGTGTTTTTTTCCTCGCAGTATTGCTCCTCAATTTCACCACCGTCTCGGCCATTCCCATAAAGCCAGGCTGAGAGGAGGGGATGGAGCAGGGAGTAAAGAACTCCGCTTCGGTTTATCTCTTGGACTCTTCCCAGGTGATAAATTTAGTGGCCAAATCCTGATTAATGTCTTTTGTCCTTTTTTAAAGGAATAAATAGATTTTCTTGTCTGAGCTGGAGACAAGGCAGAGAAAATGGGGATTAGGCACCAAATTTAGCTTTTTAGCGGGGACTGCGAGTGTCTGAATGCCCTGGGAAGATGGAGTAATAGAGGGAACTGAGTACAAAAGGGGCCCGCCTTCCAAAGAAGCACACTGCCTGACACATGTTGGAGCAGGTGCTCAAAGCAATGCTAACAGGGGGAGCACATACATGCATGTATGAATGGAGTGCATAAGTCATTTATTCCTTCAAAGAATATCAATTGAGCCCAACTTAGGCTCAGATGGGTTGGCAAACTCTTTCTGTAAAAGGCCACGAGAGTTAGTATTTTAGGCATTGTGGCCATCTGGTCTCTGTCACAGCTACTCGTCTCGGCCGTTATAGAGCAAAAGCTCTATGGATGATAGATAAAGAGATGAGCATGTTTGTGTTCCACTAAAATTGTATTTTGTTTCATGGAAACTCTGACGGCAAGCTGTAGTTTTGCTGACCCTAGGTAGGCTAAGGAATAAAAAAAAAAGGTTCAAAAATGCCAGGTTCAAATCCCAGGTTTTCTTTTAACTGGCACATGACAAGGCAAGCCACACTATGTGAGGCGGGGATAAAACCAGCAGTCACCTCTCTGTTGTGAGGATTAGATGAGAGTGTGTGTGTTACCTAGTTCAATGTGTGGCACACAGCATGCACTCGGGAAATCACGATTATTATTTTAAAATATATTTTTATTGATTTCAGAGAGGAAGGGAGAGGGAGAGACAGAAACATCAATGATGAGAGAGAATGATTGGCTTGCCTCCTGCAGGCCCCACACTGGAGACTGAGCCCATAACCCCGACATATGCTCTGACCGGGAACCCAACTATGACCTCTTGGTTCATAGGCCAGCGCTCAACCACTGAGCCATGCCAGCCGGGCTTATTATTATTATTATTTTGTTTCGTTATTTTTGTTATCTGTCTCTCCCACTGGAATGTTCCCTGCTGCACTCTGGCACCTGTGTAGTGAACTAGCAGGCTGATGGCTGGTGGGAGGGAGTGGAACTGGGGAGTTAGGCAAAGGACACATGGGCTTTCTAGAAGAATATAAAAAGTAAATAAAGCATCATCTCTGACTTCAAGGAGCTTGGAGTCCAGTGTGAGGGAGGAAGACATACTGAGCGTGATTATACTTACTTGGGGAAAAGGGCGGTAGGAAATAGAGGAAACCAGAGGCAACGAATCTAATGAAGGGAAGGTGGGGCCAAAGGATCTTCTGGAGGAAACTCTTCAGGAGCCGCCAGTGCTTTCCAAGGTTCAGACCTTTGATTCTGGAAGTATCTGAGGACTGACTCACGCCCACCCTCTGATATCAGAAAGCAGACGCCGAAGACAGTACCTGGAAGAGATGTCCATGTTACAAAGCACTCGTGTTTTCCTTGGTCGTCTTTTAGGCTCTCACTTACTCACACCCCCACCAATATGGGACAACACAGACGTTACAAATGGAGGTGAAGCAAAGCCTCCTGGGGCCTAAAAGAGACAGGCAATGTTTACAAAAATAAAAAATAAAAAATAAAAAAATAAAAAATAAAAGTGTCCTAAAGGAGCAGGCCTGTCTTCAATCTGGTTTAAAGCTAATTTCTTGTTTGGTTCCCATGAGGATGTCTTTCTGAGGACAAGTTCTCCCGGACTTCATTTAGGACACCGGCTCCGACCTGATAATTATCTGCATTACTACAGGTCCTGGGTCAGGAGGCCTTGCTGATTCCGATCACTGTATCACTTCAGACAAGTCACTCTACATCTCTGGCCTTTACTTTCTCAGCCACAGAGCGAGAGAACTGGGCTGGAACTCCCGGTCTGGGGTTCTGGGGTTGGTTGCCCAGCCAGTCTGCTCATCAGGACTGGCCCGGCTGGGCGGTTCCGGTTCACTGATCCCTTGCCTGGCCACACGGTGGCCCTGGTGGCAATGCCTTGGGCAACAAGGTGGTCTTCCTTGGACCCATGTGTGGCAGGAGGGAACATGCCAGGGTCTCTTGAGAACAGGCCTAAGGATGCCATGAATCATGGGATATATCTTCATGACCAACAGCATTGAGTCATTGGTTACCTCCTTGAATGAGCAAAATGTGGGGCTTGATGGACGTGTTGTAGTAGGAGAGGGACTCCCTACCTTGAAGCTGCCAGTTCGTTCTTTCATGAGCTCATCTCTTCTTGTCCTCTAAAGAATGTGGTTTGTTTCTTTCGGATGTTGGCTTGCTCTTCCTTCCCTCTCCCCCTCCAGTTGCTGTACCAGTGCCTGGCAATGTTCACATGGCCTTACCCTTGACCTCCCTGTAGCTGTCCTGCCTCCAGAAGTCTGAAGCCCCCGCCCCCCTCCCCAGTGCAAAAGCCTTGTTTCCTTTTCAGCTCACCTGAGGCACCCGTCACGCATCAATAAAGATGCTTCATAAAAACCAGTGACTCTCAGTGTGAGCGAGAGCATGTCCACCTTGGTCAAAGAGGGCTCTAAAGGGCTTTTTCAAATCCAGGAGCAGACACACACACACACACACACACACACACACACACACACACACACACACATTCTGACACGCTCCCCTGGGGGATGTTCCCCTAACCACCACATTGAGAATCACCGCCTGGAGCCTATTGTTCCTTTGAAATATCTCCTTCAACCCACTATGTGCTGTCCCTGAATTTTGGACAGAGATAAACAGAGAGGTGTGGGAGGAGTGATTGGTGAACAAGGAGCCAAAGGTTTGCTTCCACCTCCTGCCAATGTGTGGGGAAGGTGGGAGCTGGGACAGTGAGAGGCCAGAAGCCCTTTCCTCTCCCCCTCTTCCTGCCCTCCCTCTCTCCCACATGCCCGGTGGCGTTTCCCTGTGGGAAGCAGAGTGAAGACAAGCCTGATGTGGTAGACCCATCTTAACCTTTCATTCAACGTGGTTTCTTTTTCCTTCCATTTTTCTCTGCAAACACTGGGGCAGAGTGGGGTTGGGTTGGTGATGGTAAGGAGGGGAGTTTTTAACTTCTAGACTATAATGCTCACCATCCCTTTGTTTTGAGGAGGGAAGTCCAACCTGGTGTGGTTAGAAGGATGCTTATGCTTTAATCTGTACACAAACCCCCTGGGAATCTTGTTGAAATGATTCAGTAGGTCTAGAATGGGCCTCTGTTCTGCATTGCCAACAAGCTCCCAGATGCTGCTGCTGCTCTGCGGGCCACATTTGGAATAGCGGGGCCTTAGGAGAGAGAGGTTTGCTTGCTCCTAATTTCTGTTTGTTAATTACTGGATGCACCATGCCCATGGTTCTCAGTCACCGGGGGACCCCTCCTGACCCAAGTTGCAGGGTCGGTAGTCCTTTCCTTGAGCACTTTCACATGCTCAGGGGAGCCTGGAATCCTGTTTCATTCTTCATCCTGAAAACAGAAGCGGGGGAAACTCCTAGTTGTCCAGGTAGCACTCAATTTCTTTTCTGATGGAATTTAAGGGGATTTACTTCATGTCCCTAGGAATGCTGTAGTAGCGAAGGCTGTCTAGCAAGTGCCACAGAACTTAAGCCAGCAAGCATGTATCATCTCTCAGTTTCTGTGGGTTAGGGCTCCGGAGCGGCTTCGCTGGCGGGTTCTGGCGCAGGGTCTCTCAGGGTCTGAAGGCCTGACTGGAGGATTCACTTCCAGGACGGTGTGCTCACATGGCTGTTGGCATAAAGTGTTCGTCCCTGGTGAGCTGTTGGCAAAGGCCTCAGCTCCTCGCCGCATGGACCTCTCAAAGGGCTGTTAAGCATCCTCAGGCAAGAAGAGAGGCCCAGGAGGAAGAGAGAGAGGGAGGAAGGTGCCGTGGCTCTTCTGGGATGTCAGATCTACCACTCCTGCTCTATTGTTTGTCACTAAGTCCAGCCCACACTCAAAGGGAGGGAGTTAAGCTCTGCCTCTGGAGCTGAGGAGTAGCAGAGAATTTCCGGCATCTGTTTAAACCTCCCCAGATGCCCCCCCCCCTCGGGCCAAGGAACCACCGTGGGGGGTAAACATACATCCATAAGAGTTTGCTACCCCGGTCTTGCTCTTCCTGGGGCATCAGTGAAGTTACAAACATTGCAGACCCCACTCCTTGGAAAGACGTTTTCCAAAGGGAAGTTAGCAATTCCGTTCCTCCGGGACAGGGCGCACCAGCTGCTTGTGAAACTAGGAAGGAGGGTTGCAAGGAGGGAATAGTACACACAGTGACGAAGTGAGTCTGACAGGGAGTCTGACAGGCTGGAAGGAGGGTTGCAAGGAGGGAATAGTACACACAGTGACAAAGTGAGTCTGACAGGGAGTCTGACAGGCTGGAGCTTGAGTCCCGTCTCTGCCTCTCACCATGCACCTTACTGACTTTTTCTTAAAAGGGGGGAGGGGGTGGGAGAGAGGGATAACAATAGTACCTGTCTCAAAGTGTCAGGTGAGGATGAGCTGAGAGGTTGCATGTAAAGTGCATCACCCTGGCCCGGCAGACAGTGAGTGCTCAGTACCTGGCAGTTGCTGTTGCTTTGAAATCCTCCCGCCTGAGGCGAGAGCTTCCTGGGCGGAGAGCAATGCTAGCCACTGGTGTCCTCGCTCCCTTCACTCGGCCTCTTCTCCCACCTTCCTTAATCCTGACACATCAGGCTGACCTCTGCCGAGAATGAGGCTGCTGCTCAGGCGGACAGGTTCTCCCAACACCAGGCAGAGCTCGCTGGGCACCGGCCGCTTCTGGGGAAGGAACATCAGCCAGAGCCATCAGCCCCTCTCCTCCGGCATCGCTCTCTTTCTGACACTGAGTTGATCTGGGCTGGCTGCTCCACAGCCCAGCACTGGGCAGACTATGTTTTTACCGGGGACTGCCATCTCTGTTTTGAGATATAGGAAGAAACTGATGGAATTTGAATTTGAATTGAACCTCAAATCAGTTCAGAGCAGAGTACTTGAAAGAGTCTTCCGGGAAGTGGAAATGGTATTTGTGCTGTGGTATGTTTTGAGGTTGGTTTTTTGTTTGTTTGTTTGTTTGTTTGTTTAATGTAGTAAAAGTGTCCTGACAGAGCTTTTGTCTTTAAAGCAATCAACGAAATCCTTATAATGCCGCCCGTGTTTCCCCGTGTTTCCTCTCCAGGTATTTAGTCTTCCTGCAGATCAAAAGGGATCTCTACCACGGCCGCCTCCTCTGCAAAACATCCGATGCCGCCTTGTTAGCGGCTTATATCCTTCAAGGTAATGGCTTTTGGCAGGACAAATTCGCTTTTCATGCTAAGTACAGATTTCATTATTGCCATCACCACCGATGACTACTTCTCGGGTACACACAGCTCTATCTAACCAGAAGCAGAGGATTCGAGGGCTTTGCCTGGACGCCCTCGGAGAGGGCTCTGACCGCTCACCCCGCGCTGAGGCCAAGCCCCCGTGCCGGCCCTGCCATCTCGGTGCGCGCCGTCCGCACTGCAGTCAGGGTGTTTTCCCAGCACCCTCTGCTGATAAGTTACCGAGATTGGAGCGGCCTCTGAAGCCACGTTTCCTTTCATGTGAACCTCAAAGAAGTGAAGCACCCTGGAGTCCCGGCACCTGTTGCAGAGCCCTTCCTGCTCACAGTGCTCCACATTGAAAATGTTTCCCTGCAACAAACACATTTCCTAACATGCTAATAAGGTAGAGATGCGTGTGTACTCAGCTGGTGCCCATACTGGGATTTTTCTTTCTTTTTTTTTTTTTTGCAAAGACAGTGGGAAAGATAAGCACCTTCACGTATAATCCCTCTCCTCTCATGAAATGCAAGGGACATCTAGGTGCCACTTCCCAGACTTAGTTTAGTCCTTAGGCCTCACACTGTCACTGACCACAGCACTAAGATGGTGACGTTTCCATCCAAGAATCTGAACGCTTTATTGGAAATCTGTGGATGCGGGGAAGCTACGAAGAGAACCTGGAGAATCCTTGCCGATAGAAACTAACACTGTCCTGGCCAGAGAAATATCCCAGCTGCATGAAGAATGTAAAAGTCAGCCCACTACAACGTGGCAATCCCTTAAACAGGAAGGTCCTGCCAACCCTGAGGTACCCAGAGAGGCCCCTTGCATTGTTTAAGGCGAACCCGGTTCCATCTGCGTTCAATTTTAAACTCTGGTCGTTCCTGCAGTTTACCTGGGCAACCAGATTGAATTTTTCAGTTTTTTTCCTTTAAGGAAACGGTGTCCAGTGTTGATGTCTTCCATGTGGAGCTTTCTAAACAAAGGCATAATGAAGGACTCCACGTCTCGAAGTCACTCTGGACGTTCGGCCCAGAGAAGCCTTTAGTCTCTTCCTCAAAGATAGAAATCCCCGAGTATTTGGAAGCATAATATTCACCTGTGAGGGGAGGGCTCGTTTCCCCTTAGTATTTACTCATCCCTCTGTCCTCCTCTCAGCGCTGGTTGTGGTTCTCACCAGGGAAGGAGGAAGGGCAGCCACAGCAGCTAGAACTTCTTAGCATCCTTCCTCCTCGCATCTCTACGATGCTGCTGTGGAGCACTTCACCTGGAAGGAGCTCGGATCTCATCTCGGAACCCACTAGAGAGCACCGCCACCCCTGCCCCCAAAGATCTCTAAGATCTGATAGCTTAGCAGCTTGAGGACGGACTCCCAGACAGAGCCCCCTGCCCTGCAGGGTGCTGAGAAGCCAGCCCTGGGACCCGTGCTGTGGATCTCAATGGCACCTTCTCATCACGGCCGGTATTCCCTGCTCCACAGTCCTCTCCAGGGGGCCTGATGCCTGCTCAGCTCTCCGTGAATTTTTATTCAAATGGATTTGCTTGGTTTCATTTGATTTGGACGGAGAGTTGAGTTCTGAGTCTGGGTCAGGGCTCATTCATCAGTTCGCTGTGTCCCCACTGAAATCCTCAAAGCGAGATTTCTGACCTGACTCAGGCCCAAGAGGTTCTGCCTTCCTGGTCAAGCTCCCCAGCCCTCGTCTCATAACTGAGTGGAGGAGGGCCATGGTGTAGACCTCTGCTTTCATTGCAACTTGTCTTGCAGTGCCCTCTTGAACACGGGGTCAGCTCTGCTATCTCTTAGGCTTGGCATCAGCCCAGTGTGCACACCAGGGACAGCAAACATGGACGTGCTCTGGAGAGGCATGCCCTCGGCCCGCCCCGCAGCCATGCCCAGGGCCCCTGTCCGTGTAAGTCCCGTGCGGGCGCTGACTCTGTGTTCCTCGTTCGCTGCTTTGCCAGTGCTCACGATTGTTTTCCTCTGCTTCCCTTTTACAAGCGGAGATTGGAGATTATGACCCCGGAAAACACCCTGAAGGCTACAGCTCCAAGTTCCAGTTTTTTCCTAAACATTCAGAGAAGCTGGAAAGGAGGATTGCTGAGATTCACAGGACAGAACTCAGGTGAGTGACACTCAGTCCCAGCTCAGGACACTGACCTTCCGGACTCTGGCTGAGCCATTTCCAGTGGCCCTCTGACAGCACAGCCCCAAACCTCCAAGAGGAGCGGTGTAGGCTGAGACTTAGCGGCCAGAGAAAGACATTGCATAGTAAGGAAAACAGGGAGATTGGCTCAAAGGTACTTGCTTCGCCAAGAAAAATGAGGAGACAGACGTCAAAAGCATGACCTGGCAAAAAGGGGGGGAAAAAAAATGTAAAGGAAACAGCAGAAGGGGGGAAAAAGGATTAGAGGAGGGGTGGCGTGGGAATGTGAAAAATGAGCGAGCCTCCGGCCTCAGTGGAGACGGTGGTCAGGGGGTGGTCAGGGCTCCGGTCAGCGGGTGGGGCGGCACCAGGCAGTGCTGCGGGTGCCCGGAGAGCACTGGGGTCAGAACCCGCATCTCCAGCACGGCCTCCCCCACCCTTCGCAGAGGGAAGGAGCAGAGGAGCAGCTGGAAGCAGGAGCTTGTGCTCCTGGGGTCCTTAATTAACCCAGAATATCCCTAATCTTATCAAATAGCATGAATGCATCCTTTCACTCATATGAAATAGGATTTTCTACAAAGATTGATTAAACACACACACACACACACACACACACACATAAAAAAAATAGCATGTTTGGGCTCCAGATGATGTGGCACACTGGAGCACAGGCTCTCCAAACCGATAAACTATGAAGAAAACCATGATATACGATGGATTGTTGTACGATAAAACTTGCCATTATATTAGTACATTCTACTTCTTAAAAAAAAATCTTTAAAAATGTATGTGTAACTACCTCCCTGGGGAAGAAAAACACCCACATGGGGGTAAAAGATACCTAATGAATATATTAAGTCTAAACTAGTCCCTACCCTGATCTTCCGAACCCCAAAACACAAAGAACAAATCTGCACCTTCATTCAAAGATTTTACCAACATACCAGTCCCCACAGCCTCCTTCGCCTTTGTAAACAGGCCGCCTGCCCACCTGGTGGGGCAAGACTGGCTCCCCACCCTCCCAGCTGCATGGAGACCCCTATCTAAGGTGGGATCCCAGCAGCTTCCCACCCCTCTCCCTGGGCAGGCCAGCCGGCCTCCACCGGCTCCTCCCCTCACTGTTAAGGGAATAGCGGCCCCGTGTGGCAAAGGTCGGGATGCACACGGGCCTGTGTGAGGGCTCAGGGTGCGTTAGGAGATGGCAGGGGTGTGCTGGGGCTCCTCTGAGGCGCTGTCACGAGGGTTTGGGATGTCAGAGCGGTGGGAACAGCCCTTCGGAAACCTGGTAGGAGGTTGGAGATCCCCAGGAAACGATGCCCCTCTGAGGACCCGAGCGGTTTGGGCCAGCTCCAGCCCTGATTGGAGCTCCGAGCCCAGCCCTCGGCTTGCTGCACAGGTATTTCCCAGGCACCTTTCCCAGCCTCCGCACACAGGTGGATGTAGCAGTGTGTGCAGTAAACACTCTTCTTACCCAGGGTCAGCTTCTGCTTCACGCTGTGAAATGTGTCTGAGTCTCCTTTCTCCATCTCTAACGTGAGTTCCTCAACGGCCCAGGCTGGGTGCGCTACCGTCTTGGCATATTTCACAGCAGGCAGCACGGAGGCTGGCACTTGAGGTGCCGATTATTGTTGTCTCTCCAGAGGGACACTCTGGCCTGCTCCTCCCATGGGGGGCTGGTCTCTCTGCCCTTCACACCCTGCCCAGCCCTCCTCACACCGAAGCCACCCCCACATCTGTGGGAGAGCGTCTGCTTTGCCAGGGCTCGGGGGCCCAGGAGAGCCGACGACGGCCTAGGCCACTGGCCTGCATTGAGCGTGAGGGGGAATGACGATGCTAACGGCCCCTGCTTCACACAGCGAGTGCCAGGGCTGGTTTCGTCCTTTGGCTGCTTGTTTCCTTTCTGTAGTCATCACCCTGCGGGCAGACAGCGCTGGGGTGGAGCCTGGGGAGCTCCGCCCTGTCTCCTGCTGCGTCTCGTCACCCTCCGTTCCCATGAGCCCTGCTGGTAAAGGAAGAGGGTTAGGCAGCGCAGGCTGCCTGTTTGCATTTCATAGATATACATAGATATTCAGGGATATACAGGCCCCCTGTTTGCATTTCAGTCTAGATCAGATCACAGAAGAGAAACCCATGGCCCGCAGCCAGCATGCAGATGTGTTTTGTCTGTGCCTGTCGTATTTAAAAATCATGAAACACCACCAAAAAAAAAAAAAAAAAAAAAAATCAGTATCTCTGACTTCTCTTTAAAAATCACATCTAGCCAAACTGGGCCCTGCCTTCCCCGTGACGACAGTGTTGGAGCAGAGAAGCAGCTCCCCCCCTTAGCTGGTGCTGGGCTCCCGTTTGCCAGTCCCCACGGCGCCCTGTGTGCTTCACCCAGCCTGTGCCCTTCACTACGGAGCCTGCCTCTCCCCGAAGACATGGAGGTTCTGGCCCTGGGCTGAAACCTCTGAAGTCGGTCCTAGAGCCGAAACTGATTTGGCTCAATGGATAGAGCATCAGCCTGCAAACTGAAAGGTCCCTGGTTCGATTCGGGTCAAGGGCATGTACCTGGGTTGCGGGCACATCCCCAGTGGGAGGGTGTGCAGGAGGCAGCTGATCAATGATTCTCTCTCATCGATGTTTCTGACTCTCTGTCCCTCTCCTTTCCTCTCTGTAAAAAAAAAAAAAAAAAAAAAAAAATCAATAAAATATATTAAAAAGAAAATAAATTAAAAACTAAATAAATAAATAGAAATAATCAAGTCGGTCCTAGGACCGAGCAGGGAGTGCACGTTGGAAAAACTGTGGTATGAGACTCACCCTGAGCACATCATAATGATTTGGTAGGAGGAGGCTATGGAAACGGGAAACCCTGAAATCATGTTTTCTTTATTCCAGTGGCCAAACACCAGCAACGTCAGAGCTGAACTTCTTAAGAAAAGCGCAGACACTGGAGACCTACGGCGTGGACCCTCACCCGTGTAAGGTAGGGCCCCTCCCCCGTGGGAGGCCGCACTTGCCTCCCATAGAGGGCAGCAGGCAGGCAGGGCCCACCTGCCCCGCTCCCCACCCCTCCCGCCCTGCCGTGGCTGGGTGATGGGCTTCTAGTGACAGATGCCAGAGAAAACGTCTGGATTCCACCCTGCCTAATCTTGTGCTGCCACATCCGTGTCAGAGGGCCGGAGGCAGAGTCCATCTAAGTGACAGATCTGGAAGGGGGGCCCCATTCGGCAGCCGGGGGCAATGGGGTGGGAACTAAGAGGAGGAATGCGGGAGGCCCCCCACGGGAGATGATGGAGGCGGCTCCGTGGAGGCCCACCCTTCCCTCACCCGTAATCTCGTTTCCTCCGGAGCGCGGGTTTTATTGACTGCGGCGGCTAAGCCACTGCGCGGAGGCACATTTAATCCCATTACACGCCTCTCGGGCCGGACGGGAGCGGCCGGGAGGCTCTGCCCGGAGGAGCCGCGGCAATTACTCACACGCGCTGGCGTTTGGGCGATGCGCTCAGGCAGCCAGTCACTGCGGAGAGGAGAGCGGAGGGACCGCGGCCTCCCGGGGACTCTGTGGCCGGGGCCCTGCACCGCACCACCATACCCCGCTCGCCTCGGCACGCCTGTCTCTGCCTCAGTTTCGCCCAGGGTTTGCCCCTGCCTTTTCCCCAGCGGCAGACCCCCGCCCGCGCCCCCAGTAAAACTGATCCTCAGACTGACCTGAGCGAGACAGTATCCCCCGGGAGCAGGAGGCCAGGCACCCCCTTCCTGGTAGGTGCGGGAACATCATCAGATTCCAGCAGAAACTAAGAGAACAGAAACCAAGGAGCCAGTGATGTGGGACGGAGCTGTGTTTCCCGTGGCCTCTTGGCGAGGGGACGGGGCTTTGTACTCGCAGAGGGTTTTACGTGGAAACGGCCCATATAAACTCTGACAACATTCCAAGTCAGAAACCCTGGTCCCCTTCCCCGCCCCCTGCTTCCCCATGCACCCGCATGGCCTCCTGCCAGATAACCCCTGTGTTCTCGGGGGCCAGCACTGTCAGAAGACACATTGATGCCTCTTTGTGAAAGAAAAAAAAAAAAAAAAAAAAAAAAGCATATGGGTATTTATAATTGAATTAGCACGGCTTCCTAAGTAATGCCTCTGCATAACGGCTGTAGTCCAACCTACAGTAACGGCTCAGGTGCTGCCAGCAGAGGAGCCTGCACAGGACTGAGCGAGCCTCAGAGTCAGCCGGCCGAGGCTCCTGCCCTGCTCTCCTGCGTCCTGCAGCCTTTCAAGGCTTTTCCGAGCCTCATTTTCCTCGTCTGTACACAGTGGGCACTCAATAGCTGCACTCTTCCCTGAACTGGCCTCAAAAGACACAGCTGCTTAAACACAGACGTGGTCATCGGGAGGTGCCAGTACTTTCTCTGACTCCAAATCTGCCCTGTCCCCTGCAGGCCACACACAGTGCCCCCTCTTCAGAGACGGGTCCCTGGGCAGGGCTGCCACCTGGCAGCACCCGGTGGGCCGTGGACCTGGGCACAGCTCAGTGACTGTGGGGCTCCTGGCTCCATTAAGTGTGTCCTTCTCAGACTCAGGCTGAAGGGATGGATGGAAGGAAGGAAGGGAGGGAGGGAGGGAGGGAGGAAGGGAGGGAGGGAGGGAGGAAGGGAGGGAAAAAGAAAGGAAGGAAAGGAAGGAAAGGAAAGGGAGGGAGGGAGGGAGGGAGGGAGGGAGGGACAGACATTTGTGACACCTTCGTGGCAGGCCCATGGGAACCCTTTCACATTTTCTCATTTCCTCGTGGTGCCAGCCCTGGGAGGTGGGCGTTATTCTTCCTGGTTTACAGGTGAGAATATCGAGTTCCAGGAAGCCACAATTTCCAAGGCCCCAAGAGGAAGAGCAGGTAGTGGACCTGAAGTACTTCCCATGCTGTATCCGTAAGGAACAGGAGCCCAGGAGACTTCCTCTGAGGACGGGTGGGAGCGCTCAGTGCTGGGCCCTGCGCTTCCTGCTCAGCCGGGGCCCTGCTGCTGCAGACCCGCCTGGAGCCTCTCGGCTCCGCCCATCTCTGGGCCTCGGTGCAGGATTTCCCGGGTGCTCTTGAGCACGAACAGGTCGGGAGCCTTCACCTTGTCGTTAAGTAGAGCCGAGCTGGCAATGTGCTACCCAGCACTGGCCCGGTGTTGCTACAAGGAGAGCTGAAATAAGCCGGAGCGCTTGGGGTAATAAATACTGATGATTTCTATTAACAGAGAGGCAATTACCGGGCCCGGGGAATCTGGGGCACGTAGCCCTAGGGAGGACAGAAGAAGAGGAATCGTTCTCATAATTAAATGGGAGCAGAATGACACGTTGGCGGGGCTCTGTCTCCCGGACTGATTAAGAAGCTGCTGCTCTTCCTGTCGACGCGGACGGTTTCTTTCTGCCGGCCGTGACCTCGTCCGGCCCTGGGACCAGGCAGAGGAGGTCCTGCCGACTCTGGGTGGGACAGGCGGAGGGCGCCTGTAGCTAGCTGGCTTAGATAACGCCAAACGCTGCACGTCCACAAGCTGCCCCGAGCTCTGGGCAGGAGCCCCCGCAGGCCAAGCCTACGGCTGCTGGATGAGGGCAGTGTTGCACCCGTTCCCTAGCCCCGTGGTCAGCAAACTGCGGCTCGTGAGCCACATGCAGCTCTTTGGCTCCGTGAGTGCGGCTCTTCCACAAAATACCACGGCCCGGGTGCATCTATTTTGAAGAAGTGGCGTTAGAAGAAGTTTAAGTTTAAAAAATGTGGCTCTCAAAAGAAATTTCAATCGTTATACTGTTGATATTTGGCTCTGTGGACTAATGAGTTTGCCGACCACTGGCCTAGCCTGACCCTTCTCCAGGCTCCGGAGCCCCCATCCTGTCCTTGCTGGGCCCCGGGACAGGCTGGTTCCCGGGTCTCCGCAGGCCTGGACTGGCCCTCCTGCCGGTAAGGTTTGTGGAATGCTCAGGCCTGTCCCTGTACCCAGCCTGTACCAGCCTTATCACGAGTTATAAAGGGGCCACTCACTGAAGGAACATGCCAGGCACTTATGGGCACTATCTCACTTAATCTCTCCAGTCACACTGCCACGATGTTCTTGTTCTCTTTGGAAGATAAGAATGCCTCTGAAGGACTAGCATGTGCCGAGTCGCTGGTACAGACAGTCCTGGGACTCGAACCCAGCGCCGTCTGTGTCTCATGCTGTGCTTTCCGTTATCACTCGTGGTCTTTCTTCTGGAGAGATGGCGTTTATTTAGGAACAAAGCAGGGCTCTCTGCCAGGGGTGGTAGAGGAGGCAGAGGCCTACGAAAGGAATGAACTCAGAAAAATGGAACCCACGTTCACCATGTGGCTTTATGTCTGTTCTGACAGACCAGGAGAAAACTGATTTCAGCAGGATCTCGGTTGGAGCAGCCGCACAAGTAAAATGTCATTCCTTTGCCCTTAAAATAGGACCATTATTTTCATTATTGAGCTGCCCAGGCTTCTCTCTAAATAAACCCTCCTCCCAGCTAGACAAGTTGCCCCTGACCACAGAGGGGGAATGGAGAGCGGTGATGGCTCACCCTCATCCTCAGGTGGGCCCCTCGTGCTGGGCTGAAAGGAAGAACTTGACTCAAATCAACGAGTTAGCAAGTCTCTGCCACGATTTCCACCTCTGCACTGTCACAGGGTGACACCAAGCCTCTTGCCGGGTGCCTCCTGCTGATGTCCACCCTCGTTTCTTGTGGCCAGGGCTAAGTAGGTTAAAATGGAGTGATTTTCACAGTGGACTTAAAGGTGCCAGCTCCGCACGCTTTCAGAAACGGACGTAAGTGTCTGGAAGAGCATGTAGACTCCTCCTCCCTGGCGAAGTCCGAGGCTTCATCCACCCAGACTGACCCACTGAGAATGCTGAGCCCCTACTCCACCATACCCAGGATGTCCCAGGGGGCAGAAGACCCACCTGCCTCACTGTATCCAGAGGTAAAGCCTAGGAGACAGGGTGAGGTGGCCAGATCTCCCTCCTCCTAAGAACCAGTCAGTGCTGGTCTCCGAAATCCCTTTTCTGGCAGACTGCACACCCGAGGACCAGCCTGTGAGGGGACTGAGTTGACGCAGCTTGGGTTTGCTGGCGGGCTCCAGGAAAGCACCATCAGCCACGTCCTGCCAGTCAGTCATGCAGGCCACCAGACAGAAGCCATGTTTTTGAAGTACACATTATTTCTCATCCTAATTTACAAATGAGAAAACGGAAGTTCAGAGAAGTTAAGTACGTTGCAGAGCTGGGGTCCTAACCCAACACCAACCGCATGAGGATGAAAAAGTGAAAGCAAACGTGTCCCGGCCCGCGGGGCAACAACGGGGGCACGCAGGAACCACCTACGAGAATGAAGCAAACAAGGAACGCGGAAGAATGGAGGCAAGACAAGGTTCTGATCAAGCCTCAACTTTATTCTTTGAAATGGATGTATTTATACAGCAGAAACAAAGGGGGGCAGGGTTGCCTATGCAGAGGGGTCTTTGGCATCTGGCAACACAAGATTGGCTAACTGCCAGGGCGGCGTAACATTCCAAGGTGCAACATTCCAAGGCTGGGCTATCTAGGGGGGGGGGGGGGGGGAGGATCAGGAAGGGGAAGTTGCTAAGCGGCAGGAAGATGCTAAGCGGCAGGTTAATCTTATCTTCTGGCCAAACCCTCAGGGCACCGCATAACTTCTGCTAGAAGGAACTTAATTCTATTAAGACTGAGTTGCTTGTCTCAACTCTGCTGGCTCCCAACACAAACGTGTACCTCCAACTGTGATCGTGAACCACAGTCTCCCGGCTGTGAGTGGATGTGGCGTCAGGCCTGGGTTTTCATTCCACCTCCCAGGTGTCTGAAGGGCCCAGGCCTGTGGGCACCGGTTTCGTCAGGAGGGGAAAGGGACAGGTGACTGTCGTCTGTGTCACTTCTCTCCGCGTCCTCATTTCCTTCTGTCACCTCCCTTGTCCTTTTGCACACAAATCCCAAGGGCAGGTGCCCACGGAGAATGGCCCGTTAGACAGAAGGAACTGGGGACGTTCCAGAGAAGGTGTCGGCGCGGCCGCCTGTCGGTGTTTTCACGCCGGTGCAGACAGGCAGCCTCTCCCTGGGAGCCCGTGCCCCGCTCCTCACGTGCCAGGCGAGCAGCAGACACGCTGGCCACCTCTGCCCCTGCGGACGCCCTTCGTCGGGAACTGGCGCAGGAAAGCCGTTGGGAGCATGGCTCTCTTCATAGGAGAGACAGGATCGGGGTTGGTCCGGGTGCTATTATCACTCATTGGAATGGCGTGGCAGCAAATCGGGGTTTTTTGTCCCCAGTTTGCTCCCAGTTCCAGATCAACCGGTCTGGTCAGGACAGGATGTTCCCTCTAACACCAGCACCAGCCTTCACCGGGAGGCCAGCCCCCAGAGGTCTGGGGGTGCACGTGGGCAGTGCCACGCCGTAACCCGGCATCAGCGCCCAGCTGGGGGGGGACCCCTCCTCCCTTGGCTCGGGGTGATTCCCCAGCCTCTAACCATCGCAGCCCCCACCTTCCCCTTCCGCCCACTCTCCTTCCACCCTGGTTCCCGCAGGTATCACACAGCCCCCCTTTCACCCTGGCCCCCCAACAGGAGGGACTTCTCCCTTTCTGCCCCAGCTTCCCACGCCCTCCCTTCCTAACTAACAACGTTTAAACCCATCAACATCAGGAAAAATAGTAACACGTTAGGTTAACGACGCTCAACAAGCTAAGCGCATCAGTAGCAGCTATACTATTAACGGCACAGCCGCCAGCATGTGTCTGTGCCACTAAGCACAGCCTCCGAGGAATATCCTCGACCCTCACCTTACAGCGAGAAGTCGGAAACACGGAGAAGTGCGGGGCCCCGGCCAGGTCACACGGGCACCGAGAGGCAGCGCCAGACCCTGGGCCTGAGCGGTGGGCCCCGAGCCCATGGCGCTGAGGACGGTGCAGGCGCGCTGTGCCCCGCCACTGCCCACAGGGGTCAGCGGGACAAAATGCAGAGGCCCTTCCCTGCCCACCCTGCGGCCTCCCTTCCTACTCTTCACCCAGGCATCCTCAATCCTCTGCAGGCAGACCTGTTTCCCCTTCTCCCCGCCTTCCTCCCAGGCCTTTCCTGTCACTCGGGGTGCTGGAAGCACCTTCCCCGCTCGCCCCATTGTGCCCTCCCCTCCTGTTTTCCCCCACCTTGTTAGAGCTTCCTCCACTGCAGCCACCCGGCCCCTCTGCCTGCCTCACTGTCTCACACACTCACCTGGTAGGCCTGTCTGCAGGCCTGGTCTGTGAGAATCCACAAGGTCAGATCCCTCCGCAGGCCTCTGCCTTTGGGAACCTCAGTTCAGGACTTCCTGGAATGGAAAGCCCTACCCTCCCTCACCTCTCCCGGCTATTCCCCACCCCAGGCCCCAGCCTGCCCCACCCGCGTCCCTGTCCACCTGCCAGGCTGGCACTGTGTGCAGTGCTGGCGCTCAGGTGTAAGCCGCCACCCAGCGCCGCTGACAGGCAGGACGTGGCTTCACGGTATCTCCTCTCGGGTTATTTTTAAACAGCCTTTCGCCATGCCCATGGTTGAATGACACTGTGCTTGCACCCAAGTGTCTGCATCATGACACACCTGAGGAAAGGACGGTCATAAAAATACAACTCCTTGAACATGTGTTTGCAAAACATGTGCTTAGTGTATTCCCTGGGCACAGATGCTCACCCCTGTACCCCCGAGGCTAAGAGACTTTTAGGGGAAGGCTTTGCTTAAGGCTCACGCAGTCCTGCAGAGGCTTCTCTTCTGGAGAGCCCCCCGGCCAGGGCCACCCTCGTGTGCCCACGCCCTGCCTGGCCCTGACTCCACGGCACCATCTAAGCCGCGGCCCAGGCAGCCGTCCTGCACGCACATCTGGCCAGCGTTCTGCCATGATGTCCTGGCCCCCGGAGCGCACCCTGACAGCAGGTGCTCACCGGGGGCCCCTGCCACAAAGCAAGCTCCCCTGAGAGAGCATCACCGCCCACCAGCTCTCGGTGCCCCGCCCCAAACCGGAAAAGACCGGGCCCTGGGGGAGCACACCGCCCACCGGAGGGAACACGACCTGCACCCTCTCCCTGCTTTGCTCAGCGGAACCTCAAGCCTGGTGCTCCCTGTGGTGAAGGGGACCAGGCGGCCTCATGGTTGGTTCAGGCCCCATCGGGCCGGTGACGCCGGTCCTCCTGGCCAGCTGCCTACCTTCTCTTCCGCTAAGCTTTCCCGGGGGGAGCCCAGTGTGTAGGGGCCATCACAGCTGCCATATTCGTTCATCCTTTCTCTCCCTCCCTCTGGCTGCCCCCTCCCTCCCTCTCCCCTTCTCTCCTTCTGCAACAGCTTTTTTTTTTTTTTTAATATATTTTATTGATATTTTACAGAGGAAGGGAGAGAGATAGAGAGCTAGAAACGTCGATGAGAGAGAAACATCGACCAGCTGCCTCTTGCACACCCCCTACCGGGGATGTGCCGGCAACCAAGGTACATGCCCTTGACCGGAATTGAACCCGGGACCTTTCAGTCCACAGACCGACGCTCTATCCATTGAGCCAAACCGGTTTCGGCTGTAACAGCTTTTTGAGATATAATTCACATATCATAAAATCCATCCTTTCAAAGTGTGCATATTCACAGAGTTATGCGACCATCAGCACTACCTAATTTTAGAACGTTTTTATGGTTCCAAAATTAGATAGTTCTAAAATTAGGCCTGGGGCTGGAGCCGATGTTAGAAAAGCCAAGTCCCCGTGAGAACTAAGACCTTGGGACTATCCCCCGCTGAGGGCCATGGCGTCTGCAGGGAGGCCTCCTCCCTCAGCTGCTCTTGGTGTTCCTGTGAGCTGTCACTCCTGTCTGCCCTTCCCCACAGCCCCTGGCAACTGGGAGCCTTCTGTCTCAATGGATCTGCCCATCCTGGGCGTTTCATATACATGAAATCATATAACGTGTGGTCTTCTGTAACTGGCTCCTTTTAGCATAGCGTGTCCAAAGGCTTCAGCGTGTGTCAGCGCTTCATTCCTTTTTACTGCTGAATATTCCATTGCATGGATGTGCCGCCTTGTGTTTGATCAGTTGATGGATATTTGGGTTGTTCCCACTTTCTGGCTGTTATGACTATTTAATCCTGCTATAAACATTCGTGTACAAGTTTCTGTGTGAATATATGTTTTCCATTCTCTTGGGTGCATACTTAGGAGTGGAATTGTTGGGCCATAAGGTAGCTCTGTGTTTAACAATCAGAAGAATTTCCAATCTGATTTCTAACGTGCCTGTGCCACATTACCATCCCATCAGCAGTACGCGAGGGTTTGTCATGCCCACTGGATGTTCACAACAGCCTCCTAAGATTGGTATCATTATAACCTACAACTCCTAGTTAAGGGCATGGAGGCTCAGGGACGGTAAGTAACTCGCCCTTGACTTCTTCCCTCTGTGCCCTGCTGCCGAGCAGCAGCCTGGGTCACCCTGCACAGCTGTTCCTCACCCTCGCCGCTCCCACCCTGATGAGAAGTCTTCCTGTTGCAGGATGTGTCCGGAAATGCCGCGTTTCTGGCCTTCACTCCTTTTGGATTTGTGGTTCTTCAAGGAAACAAGAGGGTCCACTTCATTAAATGGTGAGGATCTGCTTTCCCAGGGCAGGCTTTCTGCCCGTCACCGGCTGGGGAGGGCTGTGGTGCCCGTGTCCTCTGTCTGTCAGCGGGCAGTGAGGGTTCTGAGTCCCTCCAGCACCTTGCAACCATAAACGCTGCCAAAGGCATTGGTCTCTCCCGGGGGATCCTGTTCTCCCAGGGGGTTGTTCCTGGGAGCCAGCCGCCTCCAGAGGAAGAAAGGGTGTAGAGAGGTGGTTTCTGGGAACGATGAGAGGCCGGGGCTGGAGCCGATGTTAGGAAAGCCAAGTCCCCATGAGAACCGAGATCTTGGGACTATTCCCTGCTGAGGCCCTGGCATCTGCATGGATGCCTACTCCCCCAGCCGCTCTCCTAAGGAGGGGCTCGCAGTGGGCAGATAGGAGTCACCCTGTTGCTCTGGAAAACCCCCTCCTCGGGGGCCCTGCCTGCTGTATCTCCTGTCCCTCTTGAGGAGTTAGGTGTCCTCAGCCTCCAAGAGTCACAACCCCAATTTTCCTCCCTTCTTCTCCCTCCCCTTCTAACAGGCAGGAGACACTCTGAACCGCCACTTCTCTGCCTGTTTGGGACCTGTTCTGCGCGTGGCTCAGAGCCAGCGCAGTGCAGACTCTGGCTTGTTGACGGACTTTGGCCCTAAGAGACCTCTCACCTCATCTAACCATGTTGCTATTCTACTGAGCCCCTGTGATGTCTGTGCCTCCTGGGGCCTCAGACGGCCACGTCTAAGCTGGCAGCTCCTCCCCTCCCTTGGGCCTGGGCAGGTGGCTTTCCTCGGAGGCAAAGCTCAGCAGGAGAGCCTGCTCCTGTCCGGTTTCCTTTGCCATCTCCAGAAGGGCTCGTGGGAACTGAGGACACAGCGGCTTCCTGACGAGCTTTCCGCTGGGGGAACTGCAGGGCATCCGTCCTCCTGTGTGCCCCTCAGCTCCCGCGCTGACCTCACACACACACACACACACACACACACACACACACACCTTTCCGCCCTGTTGTTCCTGTGAAGCCCAGCGATGAGTGAAACGCCTCTGACACCAGCTCCCACTGGCCTACCCACGGGCTCTCTGGGTGAAGATGGTGAGGGTTTGGGGTCCAACAGAGCACTTTTCAGAAACAAGACAACCAGGGTCAGGCCGCCCTTCTCCCTCCCAGTGAGGAGCACCTGCTGCCTGGTGCCCCTTAGCGAGCCCAGATGCTGGCCACACTCTGACCAAGGCAGCCACCTCATGAGGGAGGACACACCTGTTACAGGGACCTGCATCCCTAAAGTGTCCCTCCTTCAGAAGCCCCGATGGGCACTGGTTCTCCCAGACCCTTTCCCCTCAGTCTGCAGGCAGTCTCCCCTCCCTGAGGTCTCGGCTCTAACAGATGTAAACCCCACCTCACTTCCGAGAGAAAACGCTTACTCCCCTGTCTTTCTCGTTGAGGCCTAGATGACCTGTGTGCCTGTTTATATGTGAACTGATATTTATTGTCTTACGTGAGAGATGGATGGGTCGGAAGGGAATCAAACAGGGAAGGGATATGCTGCGTCCTGGATTAGCGTGGAACCAGCTCTCATCCTGGCCCCCGCCATGATTTTCAGGGAACAAGTGACCGCCCTGTGGCCCCTCAGTTTTGTCTAGTACAATGGCCGCCAAACAGCGGCTCGCAAGTCACATGTTGCTCTTTGGCCCCTTGAGTGTTCTAACGCCACTTCTTCAAAATAGACTCGCCCAGGCCGAAAACCGACTGCTGCCCATGGGCCACGAAATTTCCATCGCACTGTGTGTGCGTGCCTGCACGTGGTATTTTGTGGAAGAGCCACACTCAAGGGGCCAAAGAGCTGCTCGTGGCTCGCGAGCCGCGGTTTGCCGACCACTGGTTTAGTAGTAAACTGGGTACATGGTTCTCACCACCTTCCCTGGAACGCTGAGGAAACCTCCCTACACACTGCCGAGGGGAGGAGCTGAGTACGGGCACCTGTGCCCGGCAAGACCTCCATGGGGGCCTCTGTGGGTAGAACAAGGATCTGCCCCCCTGTGAGGCTGAGGGCCTTTGGCTCCGGGGGGCAGCCGCGTCCGGCAAACGGAAGGAAGGGAAGCACGGCCAACACTGAGGCCTTGTTCTCTGGCTCTCAGGGACAGCCACCCAGGACCCCGGTCATTTTTTCATTTTGTAAATGTAACCTAGGCTGCAAGCAGTCTGTGGAGGTGAGGGCTAAGCCGTGCCATGTACAGTAACCGTGTCACTTCTTCTGATCTGTGTCTGTCCCACGGGTGACGTACCCCAGCACCCTGTTTGCCTCTTTTACTGCAGCCATTCACTGGGCTGGTGGCTTCAAGGATTTTTCTACAAAACCCCCTAAGCCCCTTTCCCGGTCAGTAAGCTGCATGGCTGTTCATGTAATCTGTTCTCTCTCTGGTATGTTGTCCCGCCCCCTCCCCGAGATCATCTGACATTTGTCTGCACCCAACTGCATTCTCCATCCAGTGGCACAGTCACCCGAAAGACTCAGCTCCCTCAGAACCTGGTCGCATTGTCTTCCATTATTTGCTGTATCTTGAACTTCGGCCTCATCAGCTACTGTGGCATCGTATGTGTGACAGTCCCACCTGGATAATGCACCTGTGTTAGGAACCAGACCCTAAAACGGCCCGGCACCACCCTACCGAGACTCTCGCCCCATGCCAGGGCCCCCTTCCCTGCCGCTGTCGGGGAGCCTGAAAGCCTCCCGTCACCCGGTTAGAGTCTGACCAGAAAACTGTGGATTGAACTGTTTCAACAACTGTTCTCTAAGGCCCCCGCACTGCCGTCTTGTTTTAGTTCTGATTTCGGCTAAGCCTGAGTCTGTGCCCGGAGCCCCTCCCAGGTGGGGTGGGCTGTGCATCTGCAAGATGGGACTGTGAGCAGGCAGCCCACAGCGAGGTGACGGCTGCTGTCTTTGTGCTTCTAGGAACGAGGTGACCAAGCTGAAATTTGAAGGGAAGACTTTCTACTTGTATGTAAGTCAGAAAGAGGTGAGTGCCGGCTTCCTTCTTTCTGGGAAGGCTAGGGGACCAGGATGGCTCCTGACGGCCAGGGCTGAGCCAAAGTGCTCTGTCCAGGCAGCGCTATAAGCCCCAGCAGGCTAAGCCAAGACCGAGGTCCAGACCTGGAGGTGAGGGAAGGAGAGGGGGTGAGGCCCTGGAACACAGGGCTTCCTCAGGGATGCTGATGAAGCCCAGAGGTTCCATGCCTCCAGGAAATGCAGAATAGCATTCTTTTGCTTCCATATGAAAACTCCAAGAGAATAAATGCAAAAGAAGAAAGGGGCCGTTTTAAATGAGTGCCACGTTCTCTGGTGAGGGCTTTCTTGGTTCTGAGACTTTCTCACTGGCCCTGCCGGATGTGAACTTACACAACTGAGCTCTGCCCCGGGGTCCCCAGGCCTTCTCTTCCAACTAGCCAGCGGCCAGGCAGCCCCTCCCCCATCTGCAGCCTGGGAGAGCCATGGGAGCCAGCCCCCAGTCAGCTCCTGGGTCGGTGTCCTGGTCTACGTCACCCTTCACTTCTCCACCCCCACTCAGCTGTTTCTATGTGGGGGCTTCTTTTGTAGGAAAAGAAAATTATTCTCACATATTTTGCTCCAACTCCAGAAGCCTGCAAGCACCTCTGGAAATGCGGGATTGAGAACCAAGCCTTCTACAAGTGAGTAGACAACACAGGGTATGGGACGTCATTATCAGAGTCAATGCGGGGAAAGCTGCTCTCAGAGGAATGATGGACAGGAAGCTTTCAGAAATGTGACGTGAGACGATGAGGCTAGCTTCCTTATAAAACTCAGACCCCTTTTCAGGTGTCTGGGTGTCCCCCCTGGAGGGACAGAGCTGAGATCTGGAAATGTGTTTCAGTAGAATTGCCCAGTTGTGATGTCCTTGGGCAGCCCTATGTGCCAAAGCAGTTGTAGGTTTTCAGAGTGAGGCTTGGACCAGGAAAAGCCCATAGGTGCCTGACTCAAATCAAACTGGCCCCCTGGAGCCGGTCGGAGCCCTAATTCAGCTCAGCATACAACAGCTCCGTGGAGCAGGCTCACCCAGAGCAGATCCCGAAGTCTTAGACCCTGGGCCCATTCCCCAGGGAGTGACCTGGTGCTAAGCTGGCATGGATTCTAGCCCTTCCCGGAGTGTCAGTGCCATAGGTGGGCTTGGTGCCCAGGAGCCTGGGATGGGGTAGCTGGAGGGAGCCAAGGACTTGTCTGGTTCTGAGAAGCCCACTTTGGACCAAAGGGCATCTTTGCTTACCAAAGGATTTTGTCAAGTATTTGAGGGGTTTGTGCTTAGTTTTCTTTTCTTAAAAGAATATATTTTTATTGATTTCAGAGAGGGAAAGAGAGATAGAAACATCAATGATGAGAGAGAATCACTGATTGGCTGCCTCCTGCATGCCCCACTACTGAGGACCAAGCCCACAACCCTAGCATGAGCCCCAACGGGGAATCAAACTGTGGCCTCCTGGTTCATAGGTCAGCGCTCAACCACTGAGCCACCACGACCGGGCTGTGCTTGGTTTTCTTTAAGAAAGTGGTCATAAAGGTATTAGGGAGCAAAGAAATAGCCAACTGAGAAACTGGAGTGATGCCAGATAGAGTATGTTTCACCAAAACCCTTGGTCTTGTTTTGAAAATAGAATGCAATGATTTATGCTTTAATAAGCTGTATCTTAATCAGGACGACGTAAGACAAAAGGGTATGGTACGTGTTCTGCCAGAAAGGCCCTTGTTCTTCCTCCAGTAACCGGAGGAGAGAGCAGCGTAGGGGACGGAAGTGGGGGTAGCATCCTTCTTCCCAGTGAGCAGACTCTGCTACCTACTGGCTATTGTGGGATGCTGGCCAGCAGAGCTGGTCTCCCCCGTTACTGTGACCACAGCCCCAGACGTCGTTTCTTGGGCAGGCTTTCTGAGCTGCTGAACAAGTTCTACGCATCTGATACAGAATAGGGGATGAACTGAATGGATGGCCTGAATTCTAACCTGAGTTGTCTTTATTCTTCTCGTCTAAGAGAAGGCACTTGGAAAAGACTTTTGCAGGGTCAACATGACCCTCCTGTTCAGTCCCTGGTATCCAAGGGGAGCCAAGCAGACATTTCAGCACCATTACTTTTCTCTCTGTGTGATGGGAACAGAACTGTGCTTCTGAACCTGTGGCCAGACTCAGGCTCTGAGTCTTCCCCCTTGGACCTCCAGACCTAGTTCGCCCTGCCAACACCCACAGTGGACACCATGGTCGTTCTTCACTGTTTGTCATTAACTACTCACCATTCTAATTAGTGTTAGAAGTCAGATCTCCAGGGTCTGATCTCCAGATGCTCGAGTGTCTAGCAGCGGCTACTTGGGCCTCTGAGCATCTCTCATTCGCAGATTCCTGCCAGTGCCCAGTGCTATGAAGGGAGCCAGGATGGACTCAGGAATGTGCCTGGGCAGGAGGGCAATGGGCTGAGCCTCAGAGTCCTGAGTTAGGTGGGCGGGTGACTCTCAGGAACTGTTCACGGACTGTGGGGACAGCTCCCTAACTATTCACTGCCCCGACATGGCAGAGGCTTCAGACCTCGCTGAGTTTCTGGCAGAGGAGCAGTGTGGGCACCCAGACATGTTGTGGCTAAGTTGGGTCTTGGAAGACTTCACTCTGGGCAGCTCTGCCTACCCTTCCTTTTCTAAGTGGGATCAGAGAAGTCACCCAAAAGGACATTTTACAGTGCCCGTGGCGTCCCTGAGTCTCCACATCAACTATTTCTACAGCCTGGAAAGGGAGGTGAACGGGGTTTGGGGATGAGAGAATGGTTCCAAGTTTAAGTCAGTGATGGAACTTTTATTGAAGTTAGGCTAGCTTCTGCATTCCAGGACTTCTCAGAGTCTTTACTGTGATAATACACTTCAGGGCTCTCCAAGGAAGAGATGGAATAGGAAGGCAGTCACCTAGACATGAACGCGAATCACCAAATACTAGGACCGGAAAGGTCTCCTGAGGCCACAGAGTCTCAGCTCCATTAGTTTATAGGTAAGAAGATGGAGGCTAAAGAGAAAAAAACTCTGCCTAGCTGAGATCCAGTGGGTGGCCTTCTATTATTCCCCCAGATCATCATCCCTAACATTTATTCTCTCAGTCTCCCAGGTGAATCCCTCACGCTGACATAAAAGTGGGGTTCAGCCCTAGTCAGTTTGGCTCAATGGATGGAACATCAGCCCATGCACTGAAGGGTCCCCAGTTTAATTCTGGCCAAGGGCACACATCTCAGTTGCAGAATCGTTCCCCAGCCCTGGTCAGAGACATGTGGGAGGCAACTAATGATATCTCTCTCTCTCCCTCCCTCCCACTCTCTCTAAAACACATCAATGGGAAAATATCCTCGGGTGAGGATTAACAAGAAAGTGGGCTTCAATATGCCTGTGCCTGGCACTGAGGCTGTGAACAGGGCCCCCAAGTCCAAGGAGAGGCAGAGACCCGCAGGGCTGGGAGGGCTTCCTGCTGTGGAAGCGGCTGGGAGGGCGCCGTTTGGCCCAGGAGACGTCGCAGGCCGCCTGTCACACGGGGCTTTGTCTTGCTGCAGGCTGGAGAAGTCAAGCCAGGTCCGCACAGTGTCCAGCAGCAACTTATTCTTCAAAGGGAGCCGGTTCCGATACAGGTAAATAGTGACCGTAAGTAACCGTTATGGACCTATTTTCAGACCCTTCCTTCCAGAACAATGACTCCGTGGTCCTTCCCCTTAAGGACAAAGAAGCTGGAAACCTCCAGACAAGCCTGAGGTTCCCATCAAAGTCTGTCTCCTCGCCTTTGTTCTTTCCCTGCCTGCAGCTGGGTCTGAAGGGTTTTAAATGAGTACTTCTGTCCTTACAATAGCAGCACAATAAGAACTATAACAGTAATTCTTCTCAGGTCTGTCTAAAGATTTCTCTCTTTTTTTTTTTTTTGCAATATTTTTGGAACATCCTGGACAATGAGGAATCATTCCTACCGTATTTTTCGGACTATAAGACGCACTTTTTCACCCCCAGAAGTGGGGGGGGAAAGTCTCTGCGTCTTATGGTCCAAATATAGCCTACACATATACTTTAAAAAAAAAGTTTTTTTACTTGCCCAGCTCTGTGTGGTCTGTGTGTGCTTGCCCGGCTCTAAAATGGTTCTAAATGCTGCTGTTTACTTTACAGGGTTGATTACATGTGTTTATGACTGTGATGTTGGGTTTTAATGCACATAAAATATTTTAGGACACTATTTGTTTCAGAATCTTTTTTTCTTCATTTCCCTTCTCTAAAAACTGGTGCGTCTTATGGTCCGGAGCATCTTATGGTCCGAAAAATACGGTAAATGAGAATGAGCCAAAGGACTCCAGAGATTGAGGGCCCTCTAAGATCAGCTTGCTTGCGGGGGGTAAAGTTCTCTCCCGGTGGCCTGAACACTGGGAAGGGGTGGGCCAGAGGCCGTTTGTCAGTTCAGCCGCAGTGATCTGAGAGCCTGGAGAGGAGCTTCGTCCGGGGACGCTGCCTCACTTCTTGCTGCTGTTTTATTATCATACTTCCTACAGTGGCCGAGTCGCAAAGGAAGTCATGGAGTCGAGTGCCCAGATCAAACGGGAGCCGCCCGAGATCCACAGGTAGGCTGCCAGGGGCTTCCCCTGAAAGCAGTCCAGCTCAGGTCCCGGGACTTCCAAAGAGCCAGCAGGTGGAGTAACGTGAAGGTTCTGGCCACAGTGGCTTCCACAGGGGAAAGGAGAGGAGGGCAGAAGCGGTGAAGAGAGCCATCCGGTGGAATGGAGAACAGGGAGGGAGAGCGGGCCAATGCAGACAGCACGTCAGGTCCAGGGGCCTTCCTGGGTGATTCTGTACTGTCCTCCCAGGCCCTGAAATCAGTCATACACCACGGAGGACATGTCCAAGCACCAAGGTTTCACTGGTTGTGGAATCAGTTCATTACGAAAGCCAGGGATAGCCCCACACCCCACTCACACCCCTCGCACACAGGTTCTGAGATCATGCTCTGTGCATACGTGTCCAGGAGCCCGTCTCCTAGAACCCAGGGAGACCCAGAGAGAAGACTGGCCAAGAGAGCTAGCGTTTGTCCACCAGCCTGACCTCTGGGAGTGGGAGCATTGCCTGGCCCTTTCCACAGAGCCCCTGCCACCGCTGATGGGAATCAAGGGAGCACTGATTACCCCGGGGCAACACCCTGCTCTGAAGCCAGTGGCACCATTGCCACTCTAAAGGCAGGCTCTGGTGGGTGTGGGGCATAAGGTGTATCTCTTGACTGGGATCCAAAAGCAGGTATTAAAGATTTAAAAAATAAATAAATAAATAACTTCCAACGACCAGACAATTGTAGTAGCCACTCCTCAACTCAGAGTCCTGACCACCGCTACCTGCACACTCAGCTGTTCTTTCCCTTGGCCCTCAGAGCTGGGATGGTTCCCAGCCGCAGCTGCCCCTCCATAACCCACGGCCCCCGGCTGAGCAGCGTCCCCAGGACCCGGAGAAGGGCCGTTCACATCTCCATCATGGAAGGTAAGCGTGAGCTCTGGAGACGGAAGGTAAGAGGACCACAGATTTCTCCGAGGTGTGACTTGGACCAGCTCCACTCGGGGACTTAAAAAGCAGTGAGTTTGCTCTGGACAAAGCAGCAAGTTTCTCCAGTGGCAGGGAGGCAGTTTCACCCAGCGGAGGGGCACGCAGGCTGTGTCAAGAGAAAGGGGATCCCCCGCCCCCAGCCCCGCTGAGCTGTCTAACCCAGGAGGGTGTGGACCTGAGAGTATTTGGGGTAGACCTTTGGGAAACATTGCTTTCCATCCAGAGGCTTTTCCGGATCTGACCCATCTCCACGGCTTCAGTGATCAGCATGGCCTGGGGCAGTGAACCAAAAAATAAAAAACTCTTGGTTCTGAAGCATTCCAGTAACTGCTACCACCTCCACTTCAGTGGGTAGAAGCCCACCCTCTTGCTCTCTGAATTCTTTAACATTATCTTAGGAAACCCAACATGCCCATCTCTCTCAACCCTTCTCCCCCTTTGGAGTACGTGGAGGTAGAGAGACAAAGTCTGTGTATCTTCAGAACTAGATACCCCAGCAGCCTGAGGGACACCGCTCCCGTGTGTGGGTACTTAGTGGTGGTAGACTAGGAACCGTGCCCTCCTGCTGTTGCTCCTGCCCAGCTGGCCCTGCAGGCTGGATGCGGGCATACACTTCCCATTCCCGATGAGGACGGTTTGTAGGATCTCAGAGCTCAAGCGGCAGGATTATTTCAAACTTGTTTCTGTCTTGGAGGCTGGGCAGGGGAGGCCCTTTGTCTTTTCTGAGCGAAGGCTGCTGCCTGTTAATGAAAACCGAGTTAGAAAGGACGTCTCTCTCGGGAGGACCTCTGGTTTGTGTCAGTGGCTCTGCACCACCGGAGCCTGGTTCTCTAGGGGCTGAGAACCTGGCTGGGCAGCCACCACCCAGTGCCTTCATCCTCGGAGTCTTGGTTGTTCCGTTTGTGAACAAGAGGCACCTCCCTAGCCGTGGCTGCAGGGAAGCTGGGGGGGCGGGGGGGGGGGGTGCCAGAGCACGCTGGGCGCCGGGCGCAGAGCCTGGGCAGGAAGGCCAGGATGAGGTCTCAGCAGAGCTCAGCTGCGGGCTCTCTGGGGCGGGGGTTTACCCTCCGAGCTGCTGCCCCCCCCACCCCCCGTACAGTGGGGTGTGAATGTGGAAGGTGCCTTGTAAACTACCCAAGTACAATCGCTACGCAAGGTGTGGAGTTACTGAGGTCCATCATCAGACACAACAGCCCGCGTCTCTCCCCCGTGGGGCTGAGCAGAACGGAGTGCGGCTCCCCTGGTCCCTTTTCTTTTGGGTGTTCCCCTCAGGAAAGTGGAGGGATTTTCTCCCCCCCTTTTGAGGAAATATAACTTTTTTCCTCCTATGTGTCCCCTCTCCCCATCCATCCTGAGGCTGACGCCACCAGGTTCATCCCAGGGTAGGATGGGACACAGCCCATTGCCAGCCCGAGCCGCCGCCTCGCACTTCAGAGCCACTCAGCCAAAGCCCGGTGTCTGTGTAGCTTCAAGCCCTGAGTTTTCTGCACAGCCCGATGGCCCTGCCCTCGGCACCGTTCCCTGCCCTCTCTGCCTGTCACCCGCTGAGAGGCCCGTGGCCCTAACACGGGCCTCAGGGAACCAGCTGCAGGCTGGGAAGCATGACTTTTTATGGCTCTAAGTGCTTCCGACTGAACCCAGTGCCCTGATAACACGCGCCTCTTGAGCTGCTCCTTCCCGGCAGCTCAGCTGCTCTGCGGCTCATGGAGCCGACCTCCCGCCAGCCCGGGAGGCTCCGCGAAGGGGCTGCCATGGGCTGAGATCAGCACCCATCTTCTGTCCCGGCGGGGTTTCCGTCCGTTCCCTCCGTCCCTCCCTGCCCGGCTGGTTTCCATGAAGAGACAGCTGGTTCCCACGGAAGAGGCATCGGCTTTCCGGGGCTGCCATGGGGAAGAGTCTGATTAAGATTCACACCCGAGTCCGCGTGGAGCTGCGGCTGACTAATCACTGCCTCCGGCCCCTGAGCGTGCGCGTCCTGAGGATGGGGCCCCGGCTGCAGGGCAGGCTCCTGACCGCTGTGCCCCCCAGCCCTCTGGGCGCCACCTCTGGGCAAGGCCATCAGCTGCAGCACCTCCAAGGTAACAAAGCAGTTCTCTGCTGTGCTGTGCCACTCGCCCAGATCCCACCCACCTTTTCCCCCCAGAATAACAGGTTTGATGGAGGGGCGAGGCAGGTGGTGGTTGACAGTGACACCTGAAGTCTGTACAGAACTAACCTGGCAGAGGGGTGACACGGGTGAGGTCTGGTGAGGGAACAGACGACTAACATTTACGGAGTAACTCTGTGTGTCAGACATTACTAGAAACTCATGCATGTCCATTATCTTGTTTTCTGAGAGCACCAACAATTCAGTACAATGTGGCTGCTGGTGTCCTAATTCGTGCTTTCTGATGTCACAGACTTTGCCTCTCTCCTGCCCGGGCTTAGGGCTAATCTGCAGGCCAGGCTAAGCGTGCACTGAAGTGGCTTCTGGTTGCTAAGCCGGTCAGCCTCGGGCAGTCAGAGCTGTCCTTGAGGGAGCAGCCCCAGGAGAGGGTGTGAGATGCCCTGTGCAGGGGGCTGAGGCTCCAGAGAAAAGGGGACAAAGGAGTGTCTGGGGAAGGAGCTGAGCCAGCACCATGTGTAATGAGGGTCTGAAGGTTTCTGTTTTATCGGGGATCCCACACACACGCGTGGGTACCTATTCCTCAGGCTGCGCGCGCACAGGGGAGATCGGGGAGGAGTGCTGGGGAGGCAGAGACCAAAGGAGCGTCAGGAACAGGAACGGGCTCTTAATGTCACATTATTGAACAACAGCTTCTGGGACAGTTAGGACCTAAATCTAAGGAAGGTGCCGGCTGCTGACTTACTAATTCATCCTGCCCACTGCCCCACTCCCCATAATCCAACTGCATGGATTTCATTAGCACCATCAACTAGAAAGATGCTTGGATTCTCCCCTTGCCTTTGCCATTAGCAACCAACCAGACTTTAGGAAAGTTCTGTAACCTCTCACCCTCACTACTTCATGGAGTTGTTAAAAGATAAAATGGCAGTGCTTTAAAAAGTTTAAGGCATTATACGAATTTAAGATTTTAGCATAGGAACAAAGAAAATATAGCTAGGGCCACAAGGAGACCGTTGGGCTTTTGAACTAGCCCTGGACCAGAAAACCCCCCTATCAGCTGTTAGGCCAAGCCTTTCCCCGTCTGGGGCAGTCAGAGTCCATTTCCGAGCAACAGAAGGGGACTGCTTCTCTTGTCATGGGCCACAACGGCAGGGAGAGCCACTCTGGCACCGCCAAGACGGCCAGGAGTGGGAAATGCAGATGTTGAGCCTGAAACAGGATGCCGTCCCCTCGTCAGCACTGTGATGTGAGCCTCCGGGGACTCTGAGCCCATAGCCTCTGGGCTGCTGGGGTGCGGGAGTAGCTGGCTCCTGTTTTTCCCCACCAGAGGTTGAGCCCTGGAAAGAAATGCTCCATCCGGGAAAATAAAGAGATAATGGGTAGCTTTAGGGGCCACAGACCCTTCCTCCTAAAAAAAAATGTAAGAGAATTTCCCCCCTCACCCAAAGTTCGCTCTTCTGCACTCCGGAGTGTCTGAAATAGGGACTCGGCCTATTCTGGACCCAGGTCATCCTCAGGTGAAAAGAGGGGAAGCTGGCCGGGGCTCCTCCCCTTCCCCACCAGAGAGCACTCAGGGAGAGCAGGTGGGGTTTTCCTGTCCCACAGGGGCAGGACAGAGAGCTGGGAGGCTGAAGACACCGATAGCAGCTGCAGAAAAGATGCCTCGTGAGCTCGGGGAGCTGTGCGCTAGGCTGTTCAAAGGACGCTCAGCTCCAGAATCAGCATTAGACGAGGCCCAGGCACAACAGTCTTCTCCTCCCCGCTCCTGCCTCTCAGGGCCCTCAGGCCAAGAGGCATCCCTGAGCTCCCTGAACAGCGGCCCCAGCTCTCCATCAGGGACAGTCTGGTGCCATTCAGCCTCTTTCCAGTCGGGGCTAAAACCAGGCCCAGGACACGAAGGCAGGAATGGCACCATCTTTAACAAATGTGGCCAAAACTATAAACAGAAAGAAAAACAAGGGCGCGCTGATACAGAGGGCCTACTCACGTTCCTTTTGCCCCCCCAGGCCTGGAGTCCCTCCGGGACAGCGCCCATTCCACCCCCGTGCGTTCCTCCTCCCACGGGGACACCTTCCTGCCTCACGTGAGGAGCAGCCGGGCAGACAGCAACGAGCGAGTCGCCGTGATCGCGGACGAGGCCTACAGCCCTGCAGACAGCATGCTGCCCACCCCCGTGGCCGAGCACAGCCTGGAGCTGATGCTGCTGTCCCGGCAGATCAACGGGGCCACCTGCAGCATCGAGGAGGAGAAGGAGTCCGAGGCCAGCACCCCCACGGCTGCCGAGGTGGAGGCCCTCGGGGGAGAGCTGAGGGCCCTGTGCCAGGGGCACGGCAGGCCGGAGGAGGAACAGGTGAATAAGTTTGTTTTAAGTGTCCTCCGTTTGCTCCTTGTGACCATGGGACTCCTCTTTGTTTTGCTCCTCCTCCTGATCATCCTTACCGAGTCTGACCTTGACATTGCCTTTTTCCGAGATATCCGTCAGACCCCCGAGTTCGAGCAGTTCCACTATCAATACTTTTGTCCCCTCAGGCGATGGTTTGCCTGCAAAATCCGCTCAGTGGTGAGCCTGCTCATTGACACCTGAGAAGACAGGACTTCTCCCAATAACTAGCCAGGTGGACCCCGGAGCCCGGCTACCCCTTCCCAGCAATGGGACCCATCGCGGAACCATCGGCACATGCACCACGTCCTCCTTTCATGACTCAAAGTCCGCAGCCTGGGAGGCTTGTTTCCCAGGAGCAGAAGGGGATGGGCTCATGGCCTGTCTACACAAACTGGGGAAGCTCATTTCCTTCAGAGGTCCTCTCGAGAAAGGCTCGGCGACTCCGTTTCTCATCCTCCCCAATATGCAGGATAACTTTTGGCTTTGAATTTTGATTTTTTCATAGATGTGTATTATTTTGAAAGTATCAAATAAAAATAATTTATTTTATTATGACTGATTACCACGGTAGTGTCACCTCGCAGATGGGACACTAGCTGAAGCCTAGAGAGCTGTCGTCTTCTGTCTTCTGCAGGAGCTTTCCTACTGGGCTCCAGCAGGCTCACCGCGGCAGCTTCTGCGGGGCAGATCCGGGGTCTGGACAGTGAATACGTCTAAGTTTCCTGGCCAGACAGAGCTTTTTTTTAAAAAAAGTAAACATCCATGTAGAACGATTAAATGAAAAGTTGCTTCTTATGATGGTCTGAGTTGGATTTTCTTTTCCTTTTGTTTTTGTTTTTTTCAAATCTGAGCAGAGTGGGCATCTGAAGGGACCACCGCTACAGCAGCAGCAGCAGCAGGGGTGGGGTAAGTCTGTCCCCTTAGACTAGATCCTAGTGGGCGTCACCATGAGTTTTGTATAATGAACTTGATTTCTGTGATTTTTTTTTTCCCTGAAAGAACCTCAAGACTTTTATAGTGCGCCAGAGACACTAGATGAAGTGAGTCGTCCCAGTCATAGAACTGTCAGAAATGTTAGACAAAACGTAGTTAACAGAAACCAGAGCTAAGGTACCTGAGAGACTGTTGAGATTCAGAGAGCAGTGCTTATTTTGTACAATCCCCGCAAAAAGACAAAATACTAAAAGACTATTTCAACATATATTTTAACAACAAAATGTTATTTTCTTATCAATTCATATTTTGTTTTTACTGTATGGATTAAGAAAATAGAGCCTGATGAACTAAACGATGCAAGAAAGAAACTGATCCTGAGAATGAAAAGCTTCAGAAAATAGAATTCCAAGATCAACAAACAGCCTTGGAAGGAACCAGTAAAATAATCTCTTTAAATAGGAGTTCTACGAGATGCCTGCTGAGAAAGAAGGTGAACGTGGCAGAGACCAACACTAGATGTAGAAATACTGCCCCCTAGGGACCGCCTCTGCATCAGAAAAATAGAAATTAGTTGTAGGAAAGAGCACCTGCCATCCTTGGTGAGGGAAGCGGTGGAAGCGCAGCAGGAAAGGGTGAGTGTGGTGTCCGAGGCCCAAGCTCGGTATCTATTACACACACTCACACACAAGAGCTTGTTTCATCTCAGGGAGAGATGTCTAAGTCACCTGAGGTCTGCAGCATCGAGGAGAAGGAGTCTGAGGCCAGCCATGCCCCTGTCACAGGGGCCTCCACGTCTACAGCAGATGGTCAGTGGACAATTCCTGGGACCCACACAACAATGGAGCAACTGCCCTAAGGTGTTGGGCAGCCCCAAATGCAGAACAGAGTGAATCACTGTTAGGTCTGCTCGTCCCTAGTTTGTCCCCTGAGTTGGCAGAATCGTGTCCATGAATGCAAACAGCCTTGGAATAAATGGTTTTCCTTTTTTGGGGAGAAGGGGGAGATGTGGAGGAGGTATATAATTTTAAATGTCCATTCAACTAGACCAAGTTTGGTAAGCTGCTTCTTCAAGGTGCCAGATGGTAATTTTTTGTTTTGCTTTGTTTTGTGGGCCATAGTCTATGGCAGCTATTGAAGTCTGCCGTCGTAGCACAAAAACAGCCAAAGGTAATACTTAAATGAAGGAACATGGCTGTGTTCCAAGAAACCTTTTCATTTATAAAAAGAGAGTGAGCTGAATTTGGCCCACAAGCCATAATTTGCCAACCCTAATCTATACAATAAGACTGCTCCTTATCGCGATGTTAGCAGAAAGCGGGTCGGCTCTGCTCCCGTTCCTGGCATGTGCTCAGGATCCAGGACCGCTTCCCAGCGGAGGCACCGGGCTTGCTTGTTTAAAGGGTGCTCGCACAACCAACCAGCAAAGAGAGGTCTAAGGCCGAGATGTGCAAGGCCAAGTACCGGGATGCTGAAACACAGCCAGAGGCTAAGAATGGAAGGGCTTGTCTCATCATTTCCATACCAGCAACAATCTGGGCAGGATTACAAACATCTATTTACCAAGTGACAAGACAAACTGAGGGAGATCCTAGGAAAGATTAGGGGGATCACTTAGGATCAACGAGCCACTGCCACTTAGCTTTCTTTAGTACAGAACTAAAGCGGGGGGGAAAGTAGACTTAAGGATGAAAAAGCTGTCGGGAGATAGCAGGCTGGTTTTAACCTGGATATATCTACTGTCTTATGCACCAGAGCAGATTACCTTTTAGTGTAGTGTTCCTACCTCAGTCTGTAGAATACGGTGTTTCTATGCAGTGAGGGATAGCCTCGACTCTGACCATTCATATCCACATTAAAGAAAGACGCAGTGTCCCAGTTCCTGGTACATTACTTGTGTCTAGAGTTCTAACAATACAATAGTCCATACCAATTCCGAATTTTTCCTCTCTGAATAGAATCTTTCAGGTTCTTTTTTTTTCCAGGGCTTATCCCAGAAAATACATATAGAAAAGTTTCCTTCAATTTGCTTTTCAAATAGTGCTTGAATAGCAAACCTCCTTTGTTGGTGACTAATCTTTTTTTGGTATCTCCTCATCATTAAAAATTGCTCAAGTTTTTAACCTGCTTTTTCTGTGCTCCACTATGTCTCCCATTTCCTCTTAATTAGTTTGATCTCACTGTAGAAAAAGCAATGGTTTCCATGGCTTCATCTATCAGAGGAAATAAAACTCTTACTAACGAATAGTGTGCTGCATCTTTAAGCAGTAGACGGTAAACTACCTGCAAATGTGAATTTCTTAGTTTCATTAAAAATATATATAGTTGCTAAACTTTCGTGTGCCAAAAATTCTAAGTTACATTCTCCTTCAAAGCAATGTACTTTTTTCTACCTATTCAGTATGTAGTTAGCATAAAATCATTGGTGCCATGAAAATTATTTTTAAACTTAAATAAATATTTAAATATCATAGAAGAGTGGACTCTTTTTTAACTTATACCATGTCTCACTTTATCCTCAAAGTTACCAACACATAAACAAAAGGGTACCAGTGGGATTTACAAAGCTGAATGCCACTTGCGATTGGAATCAAAATAGCTATTTTGCTTATAATCCGCTTCCCAAAGTAAATGCTATTAGGAACGTAGAAGCTGTAAGTGTGAAATAATTTGAAAGGAAAATTGTACTCTTTTTTCTGATGAGGAAAACCAAGAAGTGATTTTCCCAAGGTTACACAGTCTTAGAGCCCAAAGAAGAACCCAGACAGTCCAGCTTCGAGTAAGAGGAAGGACCGAAAACATTTCCTATGAAAGGAACAGAATGATGTGACCACTACAGTAGCAAACCTTGTATTTACAACTTACAAAATATGTTCCCTATGGCATTATCTCACCCAATAATGTATTATAATAACAATCACTCTGTGGCTAAAAAAAACTGGTAATGGTCTTCTAAATTCCATAAGGATAAAAGGTGAACCGAGGGTTCATTCTGCTAGCTTATTGACTTCCTGTTTTCAACTCCACCTGCCCTCCAACCCTCCATTCTCCTGCAGATCATCTGCATAAAGCACTGATGAAACTATGCCACTTAGCCTCCAAAATTTCAGACAGCCCCATTACTTACCTATAAAATAATACCTATGATCCCCTTTTCCCGGTGGAAGGTTATTAAAAAAAAAAAAAAAAAAAAAAAAAGTCTTTGCTTAAAGTGACCTGAAGAATAAAAACCGTAAGAAAAAACCACCATAAGGACCAATGGATGTGGGTGGTTTCCCAGATCCTACAGATTTACAGCAGCTACCCTATCACACACCCTTTCAGGGCTCTGGAATCCCCTCCCCCTGCTTAGGATTCCTCAGCCATACCAAAGCCCCTCTGCACCTGAGCATACTTCTGATGTTAGTTCACGAACATGCTTCCTCTACACACCCCTACAACTTGCTGATCAAGCGGACAAACTGGCAAAAAGGTACTTTAAAACTTTTCCTCTTCATCAGCTTCCATTTTAGGAAAAGATACCTTAAAATGTTTTTTTCCTGCCCTAGCCAGTTTGGTTCAGTGGATAGAGTGTCAACCTGTGGACTGAAAGGTTTAATTTCTGGGTTGCATGCTCAGTCCCTAGAAGGTGTGCAGAAGCAGCTAATCAATGATTTTCTCTCATCATTGATGTTTCTTTCTCCCTCTCCCTTCCTCTCTGAAATCAATAAAAATATACTTATAAAATGTTTTATTCCTCACTCTGTGCTAAATGTTACCTTCCTCACAAAACTTCACCTTTTCATTTGAAAATCCAAACATTTATATCCAAATGAACCACAATATTGTTTTCTGGTGTTTGGAACTAAGACTCAGTTATAGCTATCAAACTCAGTTCTAGCTATCAATGCTGAAGGAAACATTTCTTAAAAGATCTCTTTGTACACACAAAAAAGTACTAAGACAGAAGGGACAGCTAAATAAACAGGACGCCTAAGTTTTTGGAATCTGAGGTGAGAGGGCATATATTTCTTGCTCTTGGGTTTGATACAAAAGGCACATGTGTCTGCCCTCCCCACCTTCCCATGTACTATATACTGGATGAAAGAATTGAAATATTTGTTTCCACAGCCCTAAGCTTCCCTGCTTTCCTGGAGAACTGTTTTTTAACATATTTTTTAATTAATTAATTTAATATATATATTTAAAATTAATTCAAAGAGATAGAAACATCCATGAGAGAGAATCATTGATCGGCTGCCTCCTGCACAGCCCCTATTGGAGATCGAGCCCACAACCTGGGCATGTGCCCTTGACCAGAATCAAACCCAGGATCCTTCAGTCTGCAGGCCAACACTCTCTCCACTGAGCCAAAATGGCTAGGGCCTGGAGAACTTAAAGTCTTCCTTATGGAAAGGAAAGTCAAAGGCCAAAATACTAAAAGAGGAATAAGCAACTCAGATTCTATTAATTCCTCATCATTTACAGTCTCTCCTGGACTGATCAAGTCTGTCCACCCAAAATGCGAATTCTCTCCTTCCTCCTTAAAGTAAAAAAACAAAAAAAGCAACCACCAATAAAACGCCGGTTATCTCAAAGGAAATAAGTGAAATTCAGAGCTTCTACATTTAAGAGATATCATAAAGGCAAACTTACAAAAAGGGACTGAACAGAGAGAGAGCAATGATAATACACAAATATTTACAGAAGCCACAAAGCTTTAAGCAAATCTCTGGGAGAAATACCCTTCACAACAGACTGCAGTTTAAGGATGTCCTAAGGGAAACAATTTTCTTTTATGTGCTTCCTAGAATTAAACAATTACTCCGTTACAGAATTTATGCCTGAGTAACAAGTCCCCACTCTCTTTCCTTCCTTTGTTG